AAAAAGAGAGAGAAAAGATGTGGAGACCTAGTGAAAAGGTTCAACCATGATAATAATAATTGTGTAATGAATATCGACCTCTGAAGTAAACCAACAATTTAGAAAAATAAAATATGTAAAAGATGTGAAACTCAATCGATTAAGCTAAGGTAAATATGAGAATTAATAACAGGCTGTTTCCTTATTCGGTCTTACCAATGTGGCTTTATGGTCGTATTCGGTATTAGTACATTTATCTTGGTTACTTCAATAGTAAACATAATCCCAAAGTTGTGGATTTTTCATGACGTGACTACCTAATTTATATAATCTTACATGGAAGTCACATTGTTGCCCATACTGACTCGTCCTGCGTAACAACCAGCAATGTGATGTTTAGTACTTCTGAAGTACACATTTCGGCCAAGGATAAAATGATATATTTCTTGTGGAAAAGTATGAGTTACATAGAGTGGCCACGCCTGAAAGGCTAAGCCACGCCATAGCAATAAATTGCTTCCGTGTTTACCATTTTTGACATTCTTCCAATGTTACATGTTAAATGTGTAGCGGTAAATAAATCCCCAAAATAAATAGCTCTGTAAGTTTTCGACATTGGATGCTGACCACATTAGTTTTAATGGACTCACCTAGCTGAAGGCACTCGGTCATGCATCCGCACCAAATCACGAGTGTGAACGCCTTGCTCAACAGCCCCTGCGATTGCTAGCCAGATTAAATCAGACGATCCTCGATTTATTAATAGCTTATTAAATATGTCTTCGAACCTCCTCGCTTCTGTCTTTTGATTCCACTTGGTGGGTACGCTTCATATTAAAAGGTGTTACTGGTTAAAGCGTTGACGTAAACATTCTCAGTAATTATATGCTCGGGTTCTAAGACTGAGTGGTGAAGAACCAATACGGCTATATACTAACCCTACATTTTTTTATCTCATCATCATTGTGTGACACATATGTATTTGAAGCCCTCATTATATTAATGTTTGTGTTCAAATAAATAAATAAAATTCGGGCTTCTACATTATATTCGTATGACTGGGATTAGATGAAAAACCGAGAACAACTAAAAAATAACAGGTAGTGTAAGATAATGTTATTAGCGTTTCTGAACACTACTCTATTTCGGTGCACTTTATATTGCAATAAACAGACTTCTTGAGTTGAACTCTAACTCTCCCTTCATCATTTGAACCCACTTTCCCTTGCTATGTATTGCAACTAATTGCCCTTCATTACTGAGTTCTATTATCTGAAGACTCTAACAACATGTTAGCGGGATATAGACTGGATTAAAGCATGCTCAATGCACAGTTGCCTTGCTGCACACTGATTGGCTAATTCTAATCCAATCAGTACTAGAGAATACTCTAGAATCTTCTCATGTAAAAACTATAAATATAATGACGTTTTCCCTATTTTGCTTCTTACTTGCTTCTTGCTTCCAACTAACCTTGTTATTTCGAAGATAATCTCTTTCCTGTTCAACCGTATTCTCATTTGGGGACTTGTCAAGTGATTTGGTGTCCAAGAATACTAAGCAATAAGAATAGCTGGGTTATAACCGTAAGAAAGAGATTATAACACAATACGTCATCCTAGTAACAGCAGCTAGTGTGAATTTTATCTATTAATTTGTGATAGCTTCGTCTGTTCTGTTTCAAAACTTTGAACATTGTTAAAGTTTGATATCGAAATGCTTTGCTGTTCCTTTAATTCTCTTTTCTCAGCACCACGTTACTAGTTCACGTTTATGAGAATTTTCATGCCATGGGCAAAATTAACGAATATGTCTCTTATAAGTTCATCATAAATTCATCACCTGAATCAAAAGAAATAAATCACAACAGTGTATGCGAAGTGATTTTCATGCACAAAACTTGCACAACGGGTCTTTGTTTTGATTAGCGTTATTAAAAACAGACAAGTTTTCAGACCATAATAAAGAAAATTTAGCATAATATTAACGCCATTAAAAGGAAAGACATCAGAACTAAGACTACGTAGATGAATTTCGGAATAAGACCAGTTTGTATTTGCTGAGTTTCTAGGAAAATCTATGAGAACGTTTGTTCCAGTAGAGGCGTAGGAGCATTTTCGTTAAATAAGCGGACATGCTACAACTTTGCGATCACTATCTGAAAATCCAAGACTAGCAAATTCAGTATGTGTTTGAGCATTGGATGGGAAGATTAAACCCAGTAGGCTGACTTTGTTAGTGAGCTTACTTACTAACTGTATCCGACTGTTTGTTTCTGTTACTTTTTCTGTTACATCAAAGTGAGAGGTACCACTTAATAGATTCCCAATAACAGACAGAAAACTAAAGTCTCCACCTATTAACGTAGCTATAGGTAATGATGATATGTATGCGAGCGCTTAGCTTTGATATGTATCCATTGTAGTGTCTGGTCCCAAGTCAAACTAATATGCGTTCTTCTAGCTTTCTGACACACAAGTTGATTCACTTTTCTGAAGTCACATTTGACCCTGTAATTTGACCACTTATTAGCCCTGACTGTCTTTATATGAGCGTTTGTGTGTTCATTGCTTGTTTTACTTATCACATGTCCGTAACCTTTTTTTGTTTGACTATAAATATTGAGCCACGCCTGGTCGAATGAAGTTAACTTCACCTAACTCCGTTTCTCCCTCACTTCACTTCTCTTTGCCGCCTCTTATTCTGATTTTTCGTCCGGAGCAAAGAGTGTACGAAATATACGTATTCAAATATCATTCTCATACCTGATTTATTTTATCCCGTTATTCTCTAACGTAAATTAAGTAAATGGTTATGCACGAGGGTAGCCGTGACGTATATTTTGAAAACTCCATCGATAATATGAACATGCGGTCGAACCAGAGTCAGATACCGGGCCAGAAAACCATTTCATGAACGACACTCTATGGTCTGTAGATGCGATTGATTATAAAATACATGTAAGCATAAATATCTACAGTGACGAACACAGCATCGTCTAACAGCTCACCACCCTCTGGGAAGATTATAGTGAACAGAATACAACATCACATATATACTACATAAAATGGTAAACCTAACCTAAAATAATGGATCTGCCATGAGATGACTACGTAATCTATCAAACCTTACTTGGAAGTCACGTTACTATCTATACCGTGGTAGTCAGTGGTTACTACTAGGATATTCTGAAGAACACACTCGGAACAGAGCTAGAGCAACATATTTAATACTAAAACTCATGAAGCTACATAGAGTGACCACAACTACATTACCGAGCCATGTCGTCTCGATCACGTCCCCCAGCATTCACATTCTCTGACGTTCGGGTGTGCGGTGTTTTATGCGACTCTTCTCAGCTATCGTATTTTCGGGTTCAAAGATCGTGTGATTGAGGGTCAGTTTCACTACGAGCTATCGACACTGAAACTTAACATGTTGCTGAGATGCAATTGTACATACCATAAACTTCTGAGAATATGAGGAGAAATCTTTAAATAACGTACAGAAAATTAACTAGAGGATGCGGAAAACGAGCCAACGACTCCATTGTCGTACATGAAAAGCACGAAGGATCGTGATTGGCGAATAAACAAGGCATAGTCATACAAAGTCAAAGAGAGCCAATATACAGCTTATGCTATAATTGGTGTGTTCGTTTTCCCATTACGCCTCACACCCCAAAAATTCCAGCTTTCAGAATAGCGGAAAGCGAAAGGTTTCATCCGAACTTCAATGAAAAAACTAGGACACCACTTCTGGTATTACATTGAGTATTGAGAAGCCTGGAGAATGACCAGACAGTAAAGTCCATTGAAAAAATTACCCCCTTCATGGAGTACATTGTGTTAATTTAGGACAGTTGGACAAGATTTCGTGGTCGATAGTACCTTTGCATGAACTATTTCTGATACTGCCGCGCATTGTTATACTGAGTGTGACAACATGAATAGAGTTCATTAACCGATTCTTTCCCTGTTTAAGAAACTATCTACCGGTCCGAGAGTTCTGCACCACAGTTGCGTGTGTTCGAACAGGACAGCGTCAACACATGAGACATCACAATGAGGCATACTAGCCCATTCATCGTTTTCATGTTAGTTAAAAGCCTCTAAAGAAACTACATCTCACCTGTGCGGAGTATATCAAACCACGTGTAGCAATAAGGCGCGAAGGTGGCTGAAAAGAGCCGGTCGGTCGGCTACTCTGTAGCATGATGGCTGCTGGCTCTCGTAACCTCAGTGGCCTGAAGCAAACACATTCATTTATATTCGAAACACATAGAACTTTAAACAACTGTCAAATCCACTATGATCGGTGTGTTAATTGGATAGAATATCCACACTACATGATATCAAGAAGTGAGCTCAGAAAAATCAGTTACTTTATACTGGCCTCTCACAAGGATAGTGAACAATAAATATTATTCCGGAGGTAATGGAAAAATTCCTGTTGTTGCGAGACGTATACCGAAGGTATTACAACATATACGTGAAACGGTTGTGGGACACTCACGGAGCTTTTCCGCGAAAAAAAATATTTAAGTAACAGGACCCAGGTGATTTATAGGGTTAATACACCATACAACGTCCACTCCATCGCATGTAACTCATCAACCTCATACAATGTTTCCGGCCCTAGAAAACCCAGATACTGCAAGCATAAAGAACAGTGCTTTTCATCAAGGGGGGGTAGGTGATACACGTAAAATCTTCCACTCCAAACCTCTAGCTTTACTTATCGAATTTCACTGATCTTACGCTTGTGTTAACAGTGATTTTTTATCGATTGTTTCCATTATTAAATGGAAAGGCATGCTATGTGCCTTCCGAGTCATTGACTCACTTTTTCTTTTATTCTTTTCAAAATTCTCCACAGGTTCCATCCGAGGACGAAGCTAGTTCCTCCGTTGTACTATTCCTGAAATTCACTACAATTTTTTGGTAATCTGAATGTTCTGTTCAGTTGTCTGACGTTCATTTTCATCTGAATTAGGCTCTGTATGTTCCAATGGCCGCTTTGTACTTTGCGCGCACATTTCGTTTTATGGCCCACTTGGTCGGTCGAAGTATTTTGCATTTTATTGTAGTACGTAACTGAGAATTCTCGATTTCATTGTTTCCCATTTTGAAAACCTACCCAAGTTTTATATATTTTCTGGGGTTTTATCATTTTCAGACTTGTTTGATGCAAATATCATAATGGAAATAATATATTACTCGGGATGTGGAATTTTATAAAATTCTGTTTACCGGTCTCAGTAGTTTCTTTGAATATCTGGTTTTCGTAACCAAACGTTCCTGTCATTCTTCGCTTTTGCATTCAGAGATGCAAATACTACAATGATTTTCACTATTCTTCAAAATCAAACGAGTTGTTTTGTTTTGGGTCATTTCGCTTATATTTACTGGATGGCAATCATATCCCTTACAAAGTAGTGGGTGAAGATTCGTGTTTGCATAACATTCAGACACGAGGTTATTCCCAAGAAACTTGGTTCTCTTCCATTTCCAGTTCTGAATTCAGTCTAAATCACCAATGGATGGTTAGTATTGCCTCGTATCAATTCAATGAGACTTGTGCGGTTTCACTCGAAATAGCATAAGTCTTGTTTTCCATACTGCGGTTTAGTTTAAACAAGTTCAGCATTTGATATAATAAAGTGATACCAATTTAGTTAGCGTAAGGTGACCGACATAGTAGTGAAAGTGATTCCCGAATTAAAGAGAGGGAATTAGTACCCTTGCTAGTTCAGTTACCGGATCTTGTGGGTCGATGCGACCGTTCTACAAGATTTACTTTATTACCTAAGTCACCTCACGTTATCAAAACACGTTTAACAGTTGAGTCTATGCAATTCATTCTCTGTTCTATTTGATACATGGTACAGTGGCTTAGTTTTTAAAACACGACTCACACGTGTTTGGAGGTTCTTTAATTACTGGACTGCTCTATTTGCTGTCGAACGTAAATAGATGCATTCTGGTTTTCAAGCAGTTAATGTTCAAATACCACATATGAGTTCTTTTCGATTTGCTTTTTCAGGTTTTATTTTACTGATATACGTTCTATGACTCCGAATCTATTCTCGTAGCCCTGCAAGTTTGGTAGTAAAATATACAAATCACAGCTAGTTTACCGTTTAAATGAACCACATAATAAAATTGATTATTTATTTTTGAGATAACATAAGGTTCAAACGATTCTTTATTTCATTAGAAAAAAGTGGAATTACTTGCGGAACTCAAGTATTATTAAAGCCGTCAGCGTATCAGTCATTATTGGTAACCAGATTACTGTTTGCAGCATCCCAGTACTATGAAAATTTTTGTGAACACATAATTGTCAAATACTTTACGATGAGCTGCAGATGGACTCGGTGAGATGTGATAGTTGAGCCTATGTACTTGATTTCTTTCTTGCTCAAGAATCCCTTATGCGGTTTCAACTATTGGGTCGTAAATTCTGGCTACAAACTACCTACTCTACTTCATTATGTAATATGATTTAAAGCCAAGTTCGTAATTTGCGCTGAGCTACATAAACAATATCACTCGACAGTGTCTACCATGTCAGACTTCCTTTATTATTTATTTAAACACAGACATTGGTACAAAGATGAACCGAAATCATATGCACCGCACAAGTCACTTGATTTGTGAGTGGGCTGTGATACTGCCCAGGTGCCTAGATCGAAGCAGGTGGTTTTCTTAGAGGGCCGCACCCCGAACCTTGGACCTGAAGGTCTAATCCGCATGGCAGTAGAGCGACGTAAGGAGATGCAGTCTTATCGTAGCCGGTCACCCACAATGGGTTCATACACAATTTGTTCCTTTAGTACCTTGGATCCCATATGCACCAGTAGTTTGGAATCAGGGTTTTTTGACCCCTGTAGGTGCATCCTACATATTCACTAACCTGGATAAAGCTCCGGACATCCGCTTTTCGTCCTCTCAATCTCGTAAACATTACCCCCTCGAGAAGGCAGTAAGTGAGACTTCCCTGGCATTGGTTGTATGCACGTGGCAATTTGAGAGCATTTCGAGAGAGAGAAAGTTGACTTCACACTCTCGACCGTACCAGGTCACTTCCTTACATCCCCACTCGTAAATCCTTACAGTTAGCCGGTCATCGACAGCATAATATCGGATTACTCAGGCCAATATTGTTCTTAGGCAAGGTTGAGAGCTCCTAAACCTGAAAATCCAATAGTCCTAAATTAATTCCGTTTTATAACCTACCATTCCCAGCCCCACACGTCTTAAATGATCCGCGGGATAGTCGTAGTGGTTATGTCTCAGACGACATGGCAGCATCACCTCCAAATCCCAAGTTTCATTAATATATTCTGAAAATTAGCAGTCTCTTAATATTCTGAAAATGATTGCGTAATGCGTACTGACATTACCCCATGCTTTTTTTACCCCCGATTCTTTCCATTCCTCTCTTCCAACATTCAATATTTCGTTTTTTTCTTACCGCAGTTATCATTTCGGCTCCTTTGGTTCTCTTCCGGTTAATTCATTCCCACTGTGTTGGTATTAAGTGTGGCTACTCGATCCAGTTGATGAGGTTGTGAATCTTCATCGACTGAGATGGATGTGCCACGTGTAACGTTGCATGAACACCGATTACCACGACGCACAATGGTGACTAGTGTTGGGGATGGTTGGAAGAAAGTTAGTGGCGGCCAAACCAAAATGTGGCATCAGTCCTTGAAGTCATTAACTTCTAGTCTGAGTCACGTTGGCAGATGCAGACTACTTGGTTGGGGTCCGCGTGACTATCGTAACCATTGGTTGTGGAGTCTCTGTGTGACATGGCTCAGAATCGATCACAATGGTGTAGGTGTATACACTCTTTGTCTTCCTTTAAATTATGAGATTAAAGTCGCTTCATATCTTTCTTTCTACGTACTAAATCTTTGTTCCTGTACTATGTCCGTATGTGGAATCTTTCTTTTATACATTACCACCACTGAATTAACTATTTCTATGAATTTGGTGTTCATATTGTTTTGCTAATGAGGTATGGCAACTTGGACCAATGCATATATGTGCCTGGTCCTACGTTTTAGTTGACTGACTCGTTCCAATGAGCATCTTCAAGTTGAAGTTGCGATAGACTTAACAACTAAACTAAATACAAACTCCGTGACCATATTTTTCATGTTAGTTTTAGTATTTTCATATCAAAATTTTGAAGCTATTTTAACTTTAATCAATATCACATGGAGGTCCACAGGTTTTCCTACATATTGTTTTTCATTTGTTGTAGATTTATTTACTCAGAGATGTTACTAATTTACATTCAAATTCTTAAGTAATGTTAGACAGAATATGACATTTGTCTTACATAGAAATCGTCTCTGAGTATTTCAAGATAATATGATTGTCCCAAATTAAAAAAGGATGCAACACTTCTGGAGCTGGTAGATATCAAATTGGCATAAAAATTAAATGCATCTATGTCAAACAAAAGCAACACTTAGAGCACCAACCCAGACAACAAAGTCGTGTGAATCTCAGTATAGCTGCCCCGCACCATGTGATGGTATTTTGCATAATGCAGATAACCTTACTAATTCTGCTGATAATAGTTTTTTGAGTTCTTCTGCAAAAGATTCCTCCAGCAATTTTAATATTAATGACTCCATGAATGAGGTTCAAAGCCATCTTTCCATCCTAGGGTCAAATAATCAAATCCAATCACTTCCAAAGGAAGCGAAAGAGCAGTCTGATATCATTAAGAAACTAGTTGATTCTGGAAGTCATATGAGCGATTTGACTTTACAATGTATGGATAATTATTACGATGATGAAGATGACGATGCCTTGTTAGCAAGAGAGTTCAACCAAGAACCTGTAGGATTTGAGGGTAGTCCAGGTGATTGTGAATCGGGAGATTATGATATTGGAACATTTTCCCTTACTTCAGTTGATGGTAGAGCCGTCAAAGAAGAGTCCATTCCTCTTTTTGCACGTTACCGACCTTCTCCACCACCTCCACTTTCCAGGGGACAAATACTATTTTCTCCTAACTTACGTAATCAGTCGTTAGAAGTTTCAGAGCAACCGTCAAGGTTTATCAATTCGGAGTGTCTTCCACCACAGATCAAAGGGTATTCTCAACTTCAAATGAGTGATTTAGAAACTGTCGACGATGACAACCCATCTAGTCGCAGATGGTTCTCTGAGGATGAAGCTGGTGATGTAAACCAAACTTTATATCACCGTGTCATGGAGGAACCTTCGCCTTTTGTTGGTTTGTCTACAACGTTGTCCCCTATCGCACTGACGTTGGACACGGGTGTTATAACTTCTTCGTCGCTTTCCTTGTCTTCAGCTTTATCCAGAGTAGCTGCAGATGACCAAGTTTCACTTCGACTTACCACTTCATCTAGTACAAGAAATAGTGCTAGTACTAATCCTGTTAATAGTCCACCTTTACAAGCTTCAACATCATCTTCATATGGTCAACTTAGTCAGCCTATTTGTGATAGCCGACCACTTACCTCAGTTACTTATAATTCAGACCCAGTAATTTCTTCTTGTTCCAAAATAACTTTCTCTCATATCCCAGATGACCCTTCTATTAGCGCTCGTCAAAGATTAATGGGAGCGTCCGCTGCAGCAGCTATCTTGGCTGCATCAGCATATGCTGCGCAAAACTACCCTGCAAAATTGAACAACTACAAAGACATGGTTAATTTAAAGGAGCAGGATGTGATTCATTTACGTCAGTTACCACAACACTCAGCATTAATTAATGATCTTTGTCTAAATTCACCACTTTTACAAATCCAATCAAGCTCACACACTGCAATGTCCTCTCTCAGACGCCGTGATCCTTGGTCCATTCCTTTAAGAAAAATGTCTGTAAATCTAATACAAACGTACAAACACATAAACGAGGTAATGTTTAAATGGCCATGTTTTATTATATCACGCGCGAGCAAATTTTACTATCGTACGTCTTGTAAATTATTACTACTCTTTTTTATATCGTCAACACTTTTCTTAAACATATGGGATTGGTTACTAAGCAAACAGTTTAGAATTGAGGTCTAACTAAAATTAATAAGATTTTAGCTTCTCTTCACAACTACTATATATGTTCAGATAGTTCTCAGTCACCTAGTTGATTAGGTTTTGAATGTAGTATTGCAAAGACGCATTATTCATGGCACGTATTTTATCCACGCTCTTTGAGGAGCCTGGTGCTCCGCCGCATACCTGATAGCGTATATCAGTCACAATAAATGTGACCTGGTCATGTATGCATGCGCAACCAAATGATATTCCGGTTTAAAGATTTATTTAGGGAATGTATACCAGAGTTTGAAATTATTATTTAATAGCAAAATCCTAAATTGGTCTTTGATGGTCATCGTCATATAAGAAAACCTAAAATTATCTAGAACTTCAAGTCTCTCAGGGCCTATGTTAGAACTGTGACTGTTACGAAAGTTTTTAGGGTCGCTTTAAAGTTTATGCACGACTGAACAAACAGTCTTCACAAACTGATAGTAGTCACCACTTAGAAAACAGTCAATCATCTATCAGTATGGATCAAACTAAGCATACGACTCATGTGTCCTGTCAAACATGCAATGTTTTTTCCGTTTGTAAGAGAACAATGTGAGTGAACACATCTTTTTGTGTAAAATATGGTTTTGTGTAACAAATTCAGTTTCTAAAACTATATAACTGAATCACGTACTAACTAAACTAGGATACATTTCGTACCCTATTAGTGCGTAATTATAATAACAGTACAAACTCATTGAATCAAAATATTAACTAAACATGTAAATCGTTTTAAGAAATCTTTACATTAACGTTGGACGGTGTTTGTTACTCACTAAACCGTTCGTCATCAGGATTTCCGGTAGTATAGTTCATTCACTAGCACAACTATAATACATAAGAGACTGTACTCTCTGAACAAGCTTCATGTTAGTGACTTTTAATTAATTTATTTATGGAGAAGTAAGGTATCTTCGTGTGTGATTCAACCGAAGCGGAAGTTAGGATGGATTGTTTTGTCGACCCAATCGGGTTGTAACTTTTGAAACACCTGTCTTTGTACGGGCAGAAGGTAGTCATTAAGATATTTCTCCCCAAATCCCAACATATATAGTTATACTTTCAGAATGTAGTAAAAAGTGAAACTAGGAAACCAATCTTTGTTCTTCCCCACGAACTTTCGATATGTCTAGCAACGTTTTTGTTATAATATAAACGAAAATGAAAACCTAGACATTACCGAAAAAGTTGCACATCATTTACATAAACTTAAAATGTTTAGACTGTGGATTTTTTTTTAGTATATCGTCAACAATACTACATTGCTTCCAAATTTATTTGTGGAAATAGGTTCGTGTCTGGCTAGACAACTGGGATTCTAGTCCCCAGGTCATTTTGATTCATTATATCAGGAGAAACTGGCTAGCTAACTACCAACTGCGATTTCAGTCTTAAATTAGCTTTTCATCGCTTGCGTTCTTTTCTAAAAAGAAAACAAGACATTGCATTTGCAGGTAAACACTAGTAAAGCCCGGTAAACGTTTAATTTATGAACTTTGCTGTTACATCCTCATACAAGAAAATGGATTTTTAGGAGATTATCATCAAACGTTTCACATAAAAGTTTTATCCATAAGACAGTGGGAACATGTTCTCATAAACCAGTAATTAGAACAGGTACATGCATCATATCTGCTTCAGGATCCACAAATTAATGTTTCCCCTCACTATTGAATCGGTTTCTCTGCTCTTTTTAGTAAACCCTCTATGCATGTCATCCCTGTATATAAGCGCCACCCGTTCAATTTTGTAACGATTATTCCCAACTATTTAAAGGCAGTAAGTTCAGATTCTATTTTCAAGACACGAGCTTGGCATCTTATGAGGCTATTTTGAAAAAGATAGCAAACTTTTAACCCTCAATCATACCGTTTTATTCGCATGGTCATATCCGCTTGAATTTCATTGTAGTTCATTATCATTCAACCGTTGGTTACCATGCTTATATGCTATCACTTGTTTTTAGGTGTACTATCGTAAGAAGCGACGACTTCGCGAACAACAGCGTCAAACAAATGAAGCTTCTGCTACAGTTCCTGAAGTACCTTACCTTCAAAAAGTTCGCACACCTGAACATGATCTATTGCTTGGTGATCACCTGGATTCATTTTGGAGGATGCCGGATAGTAGTGAAGCGTGTATCAAAACACAACCAATGTATGACCATGGCACTTTGGGTGGTATTACTAGGACCACAGAACACCAATCATTCCCTTCAGGTGTTTCAGTTCAACATAGTTCTACGACTTCTAACAATGCTATGAACGTGCCTACAAATTACAATGTAGGTTCAGCTATTCAGTCACAAACGTTTCCATGCAACAACTCTGTTGTGTCTTTCGAAAGCTCGCCTCACCCTCGACATTGGGCCGTACCGAATGTACTTCGAGTGAATTCAGATCAAATAGTACAACCTTATCTATATGATTCAACCACGTTAAATGGAGTTACAAATCGCTTTTCTACACTAGGTAATTAATATCAATTTTTATTTTCTCATAACTATTCTATGTATAACGGTGTTGTCTAATAACTTGTTTTTCATATACCTTGAGATCTGAAGGATAATTATGATACAGCAATCAACCATGATTTCGTTCTTTCTCGAACTGTAAAAACGGAAAGGTATCCCAAAAAGCTACCCTCTGCAGTGAAGGAACACTCAGGTGGGAGAAAACCAATTTATTGTTTAACGCGAAATCACACAGTGGCTTAGTAAAATATGAAAATTATATATCACATATACCATTTGCACATCTTTGCATTGTCTTTCACACACTCCATTGTTCCTCTAATTTTATTGTTATTTCGATTGATCTCAGATTTTCTTCCTGTTGTCTTCATTGCAATCTTCTGCCACCAGGCATTCCACTTTCGATTGGTGCTACATACTTCTCATATCTGTCAATATAAGTAGCATGCACCCACTGTCATCGAATAATTTGAATGTGGAATTAGCACAAGTCCCTCAGTTTTTGGCATGATTGAAAAAGCTATAGCTAATCTAAAGCGCAGGAAGCAGCGAACCTGGTGGATTAACCTCGGAGACCGTTGAAGATAGTGGTTCAATTTTAGCAGCCAAGGTGATCGAGATACAGGCTAGAGTTGGGGAGCTGCCCACAATTCCATCGGATTGGTTTTGATCTCTGATCGTCTCCGTTTGTAAGAAGAGGACAAAAATCCTCTTCTGATAACCATAAAGCAATCATTGTGACTAATATACTGTCTAAAATACTAGCCTTTATAATCATCCAATACACAACTAATTGCAAAGAGCAAACCCATAAAAATCAGACTGGGCTTATGCCAGGCCGTTAATACGTTAACCAGATATCCATTTTTCGTTAGGTTTTAAAATACGGTCATATTTACCGACATGCGACTATAGTTTTTCTTCTTGATCTTAGGGCAGCATGCAACCCTTTTGACCGAGATGTTTTTTGAAACTGTTTATGATTAAAGGGGTTACCAAAGAAGTACATAAACCTCGTAAAAATCTCTGCTCAGACACTATTGGTCGAGTCCGAATTCATCGGTAAACTGTCAGCTGGTGTTTTTTAGGGTTTCCCATGTGTATATTACAAGGTAGTCCTATATATATCACAGCTACGGGCGGGATTGTTGTGAAACATGGTCTATGAAAGTATAAAAGACACGTAGGGTGCAACCTTTTGATCACATATATATTCGAAGCATTGTTTGTTTATTTTGGGATAGCCGTGTGAGCAATATTGAGGTTAGGCATACGGTACTAGACAAATGTAGGAAATCGGTTGAAGGGGGAGTATGGACCTTCGACAAAGGGGACTAGAACATGTGTTACGCATATCTAACTGTCGCCTACCTCAGTGCACTGTGTCTACTGCTATAGAAATATGTTGGGAGAAAGCTCTATGCTGTTGTACGAAGACATGAATTTATTGACTGTTAGTCTGAGCCGTTGTGGCTGCCTTAAAGTGGTGATCGGGCTTGCCTATCGTGATGAAGCAACCGAGCTGTACTGGCTGGAACAACCGTCCCTCAAGGTCTTACCATGCCAGACAGGTCGTTTGAAGAGCGGTAAGACTAAAAGCAACAAATCGAAGGTTCGAAGTCGTACTGCTGACTGTACAGAAGTGTGACGGCAGTGAGGTGTTTCTTTCAGACAACCAGCATAACAGCGATGCTGCCTTTCCACAAGGAGAAGTGGGGTTAGAAAATGTCGACCCTTAATATTCAACACCTCACCTTATCCCACGGATACCGTCTCCGACGGTATTTATTATTTATTTATTTATTTGAACACATAAATATTGGTACAAGAGGGCACCAAATATATATGCGCTACACAGTAAGGTCTCAACAGGTACGGAGCAAACACGAAAATTACCCACAGAAATGTCGTGTGTGACCGACCTCAAGCAGTTGTCCTTTGGGCACTGCGGTCACTCCATCAGATCACCAAGACCACCTCTAATCCAATTTCCTTTACAGGTACCCCCAGAAGAACCCTTCCACGGTTTGGGCAACTGGGAACTGACAACCGCCCTCAAGACCACTGTATTCATAATCAACCTCCCTCTTCAATTCCTATTATTCCTCCCACGTCAACTTTCGACTCTAAACTTCCTCTTTCGACTTCCTCCTCAAGTGTCACCATAGCCAACGATTCTAGGGCGCAAAACACTGTCCCAGGTCTACTGAAACCTCGCTCCAAACTACATATTGAAGTTTTCAACTTACGCACACTATGTCAAATCGGTTAGCAGGCTTCCTTGGCTAAAATCCTAGAATCTCGTACCATTGATGTATGCTGTTTCTCCGAAACACACATACAGGATCCCAGTGTGGTCATTCACTTGACCTCACCTCGACAAAACGGAGAGCCAACGAGATACACCCTCCGTGTTTCTGGTGACCCGACGGCCAGCTCTCGTGGACTGGCAAGTGTAGGCATAGCACTAAGCATGAGGGCGGAACAAACACTATTAGAGTGGATCCCCGTTAACAGTCGTTTATGTGTTGTTCGGCTAAATGGCTCCGTAAGAACTCGGAACGACAGGGACACACGTCGTTGCCTTTTTGTCGTTTCTGCCTACGCTCCTACTGACTGCAGCTCGGATGAAGTGAAAGCTGAATTTTACAGAAAGCTCTCTGAACTTCTTCAGACAGCTAAACGTTCAGACATAGTACTCGTAGCAGGTGACTTTAATGCCCAGGTAGGTAGCTTAAACCAAACAGAAAGACATTTATGTGGGCACTTCGGTATCCCGGTTCAGCAAACAGATAATGGTGATCGTCTGCTGCAAATATTCTCAGACAATCGTTTATTTTTAACAAACACTAATTTTAAGAATAAGGAGAGACATCGTCTAACATGGCGACCCCCTGCACCAAACCAACGACTGACTCAAATAGACCATATTACCATCAGTCATCGTTGGAGAGGGTCGGTAGAAGATTGTCGCTCATTCTGGAGTACCTGCTTGGACTCCGACCACGCCTTAATACCGGCACGCATCTGCTTGCGCCACAGTAAAAAGACCCATTAGAACTGAATTGAGTGACGAGAAAACCAAAAGTAGGTTCCAGGAACAACTGAGGTCACACTTAGGTAGTTCTGAAAACGAGGCTGACCCTGATGTTGCTTGTAAAAATATACAATCAGCTGTGGAAATAACAGTGACATCTGTTAGTGATTGAAACCAAAGTGTTACAAAACACCAATGGATTTCTTCTAAGTCTATTGCATTGATGGATTCTCGTAAACTCATCCCGCCAGGCTCTGAACACGATGAAGAGCGAAAACAAATCAGATCTAGGTTAGGCAAAAGTCTAAGGAATGACCGTGAGAAGTGGTGGCCAATGAAAGCCAAATAGATGGAATAGGCGGCGGCTATAGGGAACACAGTCAGTCAGTCAGTCAGCTACAACGTAGAACCATGCACTTATGTGCATCGGTCCAGGTTGCCATACCGCATCAGCACAACAAGATGAACACCGGATTCATAACAGTGGTTAGGTAAAAGGTGGTAATATATAAAAGAAAGATTGCATATAGAGATATAGTACAAGAAGAAAGAATTGGTTAGTAGAAAGAAAGATATGAAGCGCTTTTAATCTCATAGTTTAAGGGAAGAAACCGAGTGTATACACCGACGCCATTGTGGTCGATTCTGAGCCATGTCACCAAGAGTCTCCAACCATTGGTTACGATAGTCACGCGGACCCCAACCAAGTAGTCTGCATCTACCAACATGGCTCAGACTAGAAGTTAGTGACTTCAAGCACTGATGCCACGTTTTGGTTTGGCCGCCCCTAACTTTCTTCCAACCATCCCCAACACCGGATAGCATTGCACGTCGTGGTAATCGGTGTTCAGGCATACGTAACACGTGGCCCAACCATCTCAGTCGATGAAGATTCACAACCTCATCAACTGATTTACCATCCTTTCCTAATACCCTGCGTCTAACCTCACTATTACTTACCCGATTATCCCAGCAGACGCCAGCAATATTTCTAAGGCATCTGTGGTCAAATACTAGCAGCTTGCGAGTGTCTTCTACTCTTAATGGCCATGTTTCGCTACCGTAAAGTAAAACAGAACGGACTGCCGCGCAGTATACTCGTCCTTTTATTGATAGACAGATATCTCGCCTTCGCCACAGGTGACGTAAGTTGGCAAAAGCCAAACGAGCTTTTCGAATCCGTGCTGAGATTTCGTCCGATACCAACCCATTAGGGCTGATCAAACTTCCAAGATAAGTGAAGTTGTCAACGCGTTCGACTACTTCACTCCCTATCCTTAGTTCAGGTGTTAACGCAGACCAGTCCTGAAGCAACAACTTGCATTTCGAGGGAGAGAAGCGCATTCCAAACATTCTGGCATTGTTGCTCAGTGCTACCAGAAGACTTTGCATTTTGTCAGCGTCACAAAGACAGCTCTATAGACTAATAAAAGAAACTGGAATTAATAAGTCAAGTGTGAGTGAGACTATCTCGGAAAAAGACGACACTCTTATCTGCTCCCAGTTTAGACGTTTAGAACGATGGGCGGAACATTTTAAGGAGCAGTTCAGTTGGCCTTCAGCTCCTACACAACTACCCTCCATTCCCAGACAGTGTGAATGGAACATTGAAGTAGATCTCCCAACTCTATCTGAAGTATAAAATGCTATAATTAATCTGAAACGAGGAAGAGCAGAATGTTTGGAATGCGCTTCTCTCCCTCTAAATGCAAGTTGTTGCTTCAGGACTGGTCTGTGTCAACACCTGAACTAAGGATAAGAAGTGAGGTAGTCGAACGTGTTGATAACTTCACTTATCTTGGAAGTCTGATCAGCTCAAATGGGTTGGTGTCTGACGAAATCTCAGCACAGATTCGAAAAGCTCGTTTGGCTTTCGCCAACTTACTTCACCACCTATGGCGAAAGCGAGATATCCGTCTATCAATAAAAGGACGAGTATACTGTACGGCAGTTCGTTCTGTTTTACTTCACGACTGCGAAACATGGCCATTAAGAGTAGAAGACACTCGTAAGCTACTAGTATTTGACCACAGATGCCTTAGAAATATTGCTTGCATCTGCTGGGGTGACCGGGTAAATAATAGTGAGGTTAGACGCAGGGTATTAGGGAATGATGGTAAATCAGTTGATGAGGTTGTGAATCTTCATCGACTGAGATGGATGTGCCACGTGTAACGTTGCATGAACACCGATTACCACGACGCACAATGGTGACTAGTGTTGGGGATGGTTGGAAGAAAGTTAGTGGCGGCCAAACCAAAATGTGGCATCAGTCCTTGAAGTCATTAACTTCTAGTCTGAGTCACGTTGGCAGATGCAGACTACTTGGTTGGGGTCCGCGTGACTATCGTAACCATTGGTTGTGGAGTCTCTGTGTGACATGGCTCAGAATCGATCACAATGGTGTAGGTGTATACACTCTTTGTCTTCCTTTAAATTATGAGATTAAAGTCGCTTCATATCTTTCTTTCTACGTACTAAATCTTTGTTCCTGTACTATGTCCGTATGTGGAATCTTTCTTTTATATATTACCACCACTGAATTAACTATTTCTATGAATTTGGTGTTCATCTTGTTTTGCTAATGAGGTATGGCAACTTGGACCAATGCATATATGTGCCTGGTCCTACGTTGCAACTGACTGACTGAGCCGTTTTGGTAGGTCTAGGGTACCACGTTGGAGTCCATATGGTAAGCACGATCAGTGTTTCTTGACTTTGGTAGCAATATTGTATTAATAATGTCCTATTTCGTACTGAAATTCGAGTCCTAATATTCTCAATGTAAATTGAATCCAACAATCGTTTCCTTAAAAGTAGTGAATAAAAATGTTTTTTTTAGTTTCATTTGTTTATAAAATTACACTTTCATACAATTCACAAAGCCTAATTATCTCTTTCTTTTAGATATTTCTGAGTCTGTCTATGACACCGGTAATGTACAAATAGATTCAAGATTCATGCCTGTTACCCTCAATAATGTTTGGCTACCAACAAGCAGTTCCGGTGCAACTGCAACACATATTTCTAGACCACTCCTACTGGAAAGTGGGAAGTCGGTAGTTCGTGACCAAAGAGATCCACGTGGTTCTACTAACCAGAGAGATACTGAGCCCCATTCCACACATTTGCAACACATATTCCCATATCAATCTTTTCTGCCGTCAAAGACAGACTTCCCCCCTTATATGGAGCAAAATCCATTGTCTCTAGACAACAACATTCGTTCAAAAAACTCATCTCAAATCCCTCTGTGTCTTTTGTCAACAACAGAAACTAGGAATACCAGTATCACCACCACTGAAGGATTTTATCAGAATCAATTCAATTTAGATATTACGAAACCAATCAATCCACATCATTCAATTTCTTTCCCGGTTGGAAATTTCAGTTCCTCGAATTGTACACATAACAATAGTTTAAGATCATCAGCATGTTATTATAATTTAACACCGCTTGATTCAATATCCCCGACTAATAGTCGAATATCTGGGATGTTTCTAAATACGCATCAACATACTGCAAATACGTGTCCTGTTAGTCATAGTCAAAATAATTTGGTGTCAACTTCTGTAACTTCACCGTCATATATGTGTATGTCTAAAACTAGATTCATAATTTACGTGTTATGATTTTATGTCAATATTCATTTTATGCGAATCCTTTAGAGTTGTAGCACTTTTTGCTGAAGCATTAATAAGAGTCAGCTTAAATAAAGTTGGGTTTCAAAACTATGAAGAGTTCCATGTCAATATGTGTTTTTGAGCTGTTTTTTTACAGTGGAATATACATCCGATCTCTGGTGTTTTCACATCACTACTTACATCCAGTATAGCGATCGAGTCTACAATACTGTAGGTTTGTACGTGATTTCAGGTAAGAGAGGAATGACATGTTTCAGTTCAGCTAAGAAACTCAACTCTCGGCTAACTTAGTGGAGCTGTTAAAATATGTTCGTTATGTCAGCAGAACCCGTGAACTTGATGGATCCATCCATGCTGATTTAAAATTCCAAACCAGGGGTGCATATAGGCTCCATGATTCTAAAGAAACAAACTGTGTAAGCCTATCATGGTCGTGGTCACCATGGAAATACAGCTCCTAACTTTTGGTTGATAAACTCTCCTGACAACTAACAACCGTATTTGAAGGTCGTGGACTTAATACATTTAGATCGATCTTGTAAAACATATTCATCTTTTATGTTGTGACCATTAATCAATCTTTTCGGGTTATGCACAACTAATGAAAATTCCATTTAATAATACGAACACGGTTTTTGCAAATGTTTTGATTGCGTTAAATTTGAATTAAAGAAACTAAATGTATGGATTTTTTGAAATACTAAGTTTATTTACTGTCTACCCCTTGATGGTAATGATGTAACACATATCGACGCTGGTTTGTTAGTAAATACATCCAATTATAACTAATAATAAGTTCATTAATGCAAGACTTCTATCGAAGGTTTCTGTGGGTTTTGGTTCCAACATAATGAATAACTAGTCCCAGTGAATATTTTGCATTTGCATAGCCTCATAACTGTTTACTCCTTACTAATCTTATCTAGAATATTTAATAACACCTATCGATTGTTGATAATGATCTTGTTTGCACGATATAAAATAAACTTTTTTTCTGTTTTTTTCCACCTTGTCCCACTTGTTACCAATCTGTGCAATATTTCTACTCACTGCCCTGCATTATAAATATATATTAGTAACTTAACGGGTCATCAACATGACCTCATCATTACAATCAGTACGTACCTCAGCAGAAGTCAAAGATTGTGCTACTATTTAGAAGTAATTACGTAAATTCTCTTAAGCTTAGATCAATTAAGATTGCACAACATTAAATGTTTTCTGAACTAATATCAAGTGGCTGTCAGGACTCAGTAGCTGAGTGGATAACGCGATGGCGTTTGATGCGAATGGTACTGGGTTCGAGTCTCAGAGTGAACATCAACTCTGAGATACAGGTACATCCAACTGACGAGTCCCAAATAGGACGAAACGCACGCCCTGGATTCCACTGCTAGCTACTATCCATCATTGCTTATAATATCAATTTATGTTGGTCTACGTTGTGTATTGTGTTAAAAACTCATGTTAACTGTAGTCTGTTCAGATTTTTACCAGTACTACATCCTCTAAGCTTCTCAGATATTTCATATTAGTTCGGCAAAGCGATCTTCTTGAAAACTTGTGAAATACATGTTCTTAGGAATAAGTAGTGACTAGAATATATGCTTTACTGATTTTTACTATTTCACACTTTCATCGATAATTTTTAAAAATATTATTTTGTAGCTGGTTTTCGTCAACGTTTCAACCTCACGTCACAAAGTCAAGATGCTTTAGCAAATACAAGAACATCACCACATGACAACATCCTTGGGGTTACTAGCATTAGTCCTATCAGCCCGCCTTTGCCATCCATTTTTTCCGGTCACGTGTCTAATCCAGCTTTAATTACATCTTTAAGCACATGCGTTGCACGACCTCATGAAGGTAATGTAAATCAACTGTATCCATTTGGTTTGTCTACTAATGAAGTGTTGCACTCTTCTTATGCACAAAATGCTCTGTCAAAATCCACAAATGTTACATATGTAAATCAACCTATGTTTTTCAACTCGGCACTGTCAAATCAGTTTGTTCACCGTTCTGGTATAAATCAAATAGGGACCAAGGTGGCGATCACAAACTCAGACATTCCTGGGACATCAACAACAGTCTTATCAGCAGCTAGTGCAACAGGGCAACAATCATCTGTGATATCCGGTTCAAGCAAAATTAGTATAGTAAATAGTTCTACTAGTACTACTACTACCACTCATCATGTAGATCGTCGTCATACAGATAGCAATTATGATTACATTGTTAGGCCCGGTGAGGTATGGATGGGACAATACTTAATCAACAATCTTATTGGGAAAGGATCGTTTGGTCAGGTAAATTTTCTTTTAACCAAATTACACGTCTTTTTTCATGGTAAATTTTTTTTACCTGAAACTCAACCATTTTTATACAGGATGCATCATCTATGAACGAAGGCTTCCGTACCTATATTACCACTATCCATAAACGTATTGAACGTCCGTTAGGTATCCTACATAGATTCGTCAAAGCTATTCCATCGAAGCCAAATATAAGTCATTTATCACAACTACGATATCTCTTTATCTCAAAATTAGTGTGTAATAAGAACAGTATTGCATCTTATATTTACAACAATTTTATGACAGAATCTTCGATGTTTCTTTGTAGATGCTATACCTAATGCGATAATACGTTTGACTTACATGTTAATCCTGTAATAAGATATGAAATTGTTTAATTTGAAAGTGTATTCTTACAGAATCAGCAATTATCGCTAAGTTGAATTACCCTTATCAACTGGTAAAAATGATCTATCCTGCTATGTTGGAATTTTAAACTAATTATAGAATCATGTGCCGGATCAACACCCAAATTTGAAAAATCACAAAATGTGTGAACTCAAGTTATCTCCTAGTTCTTAATTACATTCTTTTCAACATACTATTGCTTAAACACAAGTTCACAACACCATTATTCGTATCTCCTTATCGATTGGATGCAGTTCTAGTGACCCATCTGACTATAATATATTGATCCGCGACATACATATATATCCCGTATTAATTTCGTATGTTCCCTAGGTCTTATCACGTTTATATAACGTTGTGTAAAATTTAATTTATTATTTTAACACATAGATATTGGTACAAGGAGGCACCAAATACATATGCGCCACACAAATTTCATTCGATATGTATGAGGGCTGTGATACTGCCCGGGCGCCCAAACCGAAGCAGGTGGTTTTCATAGGAGACCACTCCCCCTAGGTCACAATTACGTGTGAGAAGCACATAATTAATAGGAGGACTAAAATAGTGTATTGGTCAGATCCTGTTCGAATTATTAAGCCCAAATTAAAATAAATTCGCGTTTATTTGTTAATTAAGAATGAATACTGGTACAACCGTACACCAAAATAAATATGCACCACACAAGTAAGAAAATGAAACTGTGAAAAGATAGTTAGTTGAGAAGTATAATCGAAAACAAAAGAATAAAAATAAGAAAACAGGAGTAGTGCACGCCGTACCTAAAGACACTGATTGCCAACTAATTAAGCGCGATTTCCATAGTTTTTGTATCATTGGACAGTAAGATAGTATCATCCTCATGCCCAGGACCGAAAGATCTTTTTCTAGGTGACAGATACACGCCACCGCTACGTATTTCCATCAGAGTGGTCTCCAAAATACTATCGAGGGAAAAGTTGAAGAGCGATGAGGTTGGGCAACCCTGACTAACCTTACAGGTGAAATTTAACCATATAAACAGATTATTATACGTCCGCACTCTGTCTGAGGTGTTTGTGTACAAACTTCATTAACACCCCTTTTGTTAACAGATAATCTGAGCGCACCGTCCTCTCCTAATAGTTGAAGTCAGTCAGCTGCAACGTAGGACCAGGCACATATATGCATTGGTCCAAGTTGCCATACCTCATTAGCAAAACAAGATGAACACCAAATTCATAGAAATAGTTAATTCAGTGGTGGTAATATATAAAAGAAAGATTCCACATACGGACATAGTACAGGAACAAAGATTTAGTACGTAGAAAGAAAGATATGAAGCGACTTTAATCTCATAATTTAAAGGAAGACAAAGAGTGTATACACCTACACCATTGTGATCGATTCTGAGCCATGTCACACAGAGACTCCACAACCAATGGTTACGATAGTCACGCGGACCCCAACCAAGTAGTCTGCATCTGCCAACGTGACTCAGACTAGAAGTTAATGACTTCAAGGACTGATGCCACATTTTGGTTTGGCCGCCACTAACTTTCTTCCAACCATCCCCAACACTAGTCACCATTGTGCGTCGTGGTAATCGGTGTTCATGCAACGTTACACGTGGCACATCCATCTCAGTCGATGAAGATTCACAACCTCATCAACTGATTTACCATCATTCCCTAATACCCTGCGTCTAACCTCACTATTATTTACCCGGTGACCCCAGCAGATGCAAGCAATATTTCTAAGGCATCTGTGGTCAAATACTAGTAGCTTACGAGTATCTTCTACTCTTAATGGCCATGTTTCGCAGCCGTGAAGTAAAACAGAACGAACTGCCGTACAGTATACTCGTCCTTTTATTGATAGACGGATATCTCGCTTTCGCCATAGGTGGTGAAGTAAGTTGGCGAAAGCCAAACGAGCTTTTCGAATCTGTGCTGAGATTTCGTCAGACACCAACCCATTTGAGCTGATCAGACTTCCAAGATAAGTGAAGTTATCAACACGTTCGACTACCTCACTTCTTATCCTTAGTTCAGGTGTTGACACAGACCAGTCCTGAAGCAACAACTTGCATTTAGAGGGAGAGAAGCGCATTCCAAACATTCTGGCATTGTTGTTCAGTGCCACAACAGCTCTCTGCATTTTATTAGCGTCTTCACTAAACAGGACTATATCATCTGCGTATTTTAAGTCGATAATTTTATTTTTTTATTTCAACACATAGATATTGGTACAAAAAGGCACCAAATACATATGCGCCACACAAATCTCATTCGATATATGTGAGGCCTGTGATACTGCCCGGGCGCCCAAACCGAAGCAGGCGGTTTTCCTAGGGGACCACTCCCCGAGCCTTCAACCTGAAGGTCTGATCCACAAGGCAGTGGAGCATCGTCGGGAGATGCAGTCCCATGGAAGCCGGTGACCAACGATTGGTTCATGCACCATTTTTTGCCGCAGGATACTGGAGCCCATGTACACCATTGGTTTAGAAACTGGTTAAAGCGCCGGACATTCGCTTTTCGTCCTCTCATTTTCGTAAACAACCTCCTCACCACGAGAAGGCAGTGAGTAGGACTTCCCTGGCAGAGGCTATGAACGCGTGACCATGTGAGGGCATTTTGAGAAGAAGAGTGGACTCGCTCCACTCATGGCCGTACCACGGCATTTGGGGACCTGGTAGGAGATCAATGCCCGAGCATTCAGTCGATGAGAGCGTTATTTTCATCAGTAGATTTATATTGAAGTTAAACAAAAATGGAGAAAGTGGACAGCCTTGACGAACACCACTTGAGGTTGCAAAAGCAGATGGCAGTTTGCCATAAGGTCTGACTTGACTAGTAGTGTTGGAGTAAAGAGCCTTCACAAGGTTTATGTACTTCTGAGGTACACCTTTCAATGACAGACACTGCCACAGAATCTCGCGGTCTACGGAGTCAAATGGTGGTTTTAAGTCAAGAAAGACCACCATCGTCGGACTCCGATAAGTATACCTGTGTTCTAGAACCTGACGAATGGTGAATATGTGGTCGATGCAGCCACGACCAGGTCTGAAGTCATCTTGATTCTCTCGTGTTTGCAGTTAACGAGTCTTTGTTAAGCGTCCGACAACAATTGAGGCTAGTATTTTAGATGCTATATTAGTTAATCTAATCCCTCTATGGTTATCACAGGATGATTTTGACCCTTTCTTATATATTGGGTCGATAAGTGATTGTGACCAGTAAGATGGGATCACGTTCATTTCCTAGAGTTTAGCTAAAATATTAGTCAGTCCACTCGCTAAAATTGGACCACCATCCTTAAAGACCTCTGGAGCCAATCCATCTGAACCAGTTGCTCTTTCTCGTTTCAGATTAATTATAGCATTTTATACTTCAGATAGAGTTGGGGGATCTACTTCAATGTTCCATTCACACTGTCTGGGAATGGAGGGTAGTTGTGTAGGAGCTGAATGCCAGCTGAACTGCTCCTTAAAATGTTCCGCCCATCGTTCTAAACGTCTAAACTGGGAGCAGATAAGAGTGTCGTCTTTTTCCGAGATAGTCTCACTCACACTTGACTTATTAATTCCAGTTTCTTTTATTAGTCTATAGAGCTGTCCTGTGTTCCCTATAGCCGCCGCCTATTCCATCTATTTGGCTTTCATTGGCCACCACTTCTCACGGTCATTCCTTAGACTTTTGCCTAACCTAGATCTGATTTGTTTTCGCTCTTCATCGTGTTCAGAGCCTGGCGGGATGAGTTTACGAGAATCCATCAATGCAATAGACTTAGAAGAAATCCATTGGTGTTTTGTAACACTTTGGTTTCAATCACTAACAGATGTCACTGCTATTTCCACAGCTGATTGTATATTTTTACAAGCAACATCAGGGTCAGCCTCGTTTTCAGAACTACCTAAGTGTGACCTCAGTTGTTCCTGGAACCTACTTTTGGTTTTCTCGTCACTCAATTCAGTTCTAATGGGTCTTTTTACTGTGGCGCAAGCAGATGCGTGCCGGTATTAAGGCGTGGTCGGAGTCCAAGCAGGTACTCCAGAATGAGCGACAATCTTCTACCGACCCTCTCCAACGATGACTGATGGTAATATGGTCTATTTGAGTCAGTCGTTGGTTTGGTGCAGGGGGTCGCCATGTTAGACGATGTCTCTCCTTATTCTTAAAATTAGTGTTTGTTAAAAATAAACGATTGTCTGAGAATATTTGCAGCAGACGATCACCATTATCTGTTTGCTGAACCGGGATACCGAAGTGCCCACATAAATGTCTTTCTGTTTGGTTTAAGCTACCTACCTGGGCATTAAAGTCACCTGCTACGAGTACTATGTCTGAACGTTTAGCTGTCTGAAGAAGTTCAGAGAGCTTTCTGTAAAATTCAGCTTTCACTTCATCCGAGCTGCAGTCAGTAGGAGCGTAGGCAGAAACGACAAAAGGGCAACGACGTGTGTCCCTGTCGTTCCGAGTTCTTACGGAGCCATTTAGCCGAACAACACATAAACGACTGTTAACGGGGATCCACTCTAATAGTGTTTGTTCCGCCCTCATGCTTAGTGCTATGCCTACACTTGCCAGTCCACGAGAGCTGGCCGTCGGGTCACCAGAAACACGGAGGGTGTATCTCGTTGGCTCTCCGTTTTGTCGAGGTGAGGTCAAGTGAATGACCACACTGGGATCCTGTATGTGTGTTTCGGAGAAACAGCATACATCAATGGTACGAGATTCTAGGATTTTAGCCAAGGAAGCCTGCTAACCGATTTGACATAGTGTGCGTAAGTTGAAAACTTCAATATGTAGTTTGGAGCGAGGTTTCAGTAGACCTGGGACAGTGTTTTGCGCCCTAGAATCGTTGGCTATGGTGACACTTGAGGAGGAAGTCGAAAGAGGAAGTTTAGAGTCGAAAGTTGACGTGGGAGGAATAATAGGAATTGAAGAGGGAGGTTGATTATGAATACAGTGGTCTTGAGGGCGGTTGTCAGTTCCCAGTTGCCCAAACCGTGGAAGGGTTCTTCTGGGGGTACCTGTAAAGGAAATTGGATTAGAGGTGGTCTTGGTGATCTGATGGAGTGACCGCAGTGCCCAAGGGCCAACTGCTTTTAGAATAATAACCATTATGTGATTATCGCTCACGTTTTCGTAAACGCTTTTTAAGGCTTATCAAATATACGGTTTAAGTAAACGATTTCGTATGGAAGAAAATGTCATCTATTGAACAATAACCTGTCTAAAAATTGTACATGCAAAACTTATTCAGAATGTTTCAATGTTTTTCATATAGTTACGGTAGACGAATGTAGTACGACCAGTTCACTAGTACAACGACATTATTTCATTTTGATTGAGATTATGAACCGGTTGATGTTAGACCACCGTTGAAAACCTGGAAGCAGTAGACGGCCGTTTCATCCTATTGTGGTACTCCTCTGCAGTGCGCATCCACGATCCCACTCGCGGGATTCGAACTCAGGGCCTTCAGTATCGCGCGCGAACGCTCAACTTGCTGGACCACTGAGCCTATATCCGGTGGTGTTAATGTCTAACCTCAACCAATCCACAACTCATGATCTCAACTATTAAAATAAAAAATGTGATTACCGTTCACGTAATCGTCATGTTAAAATGCAAACTCTCACATCCAATCAAAGCACTTGATACTATTTCGTTTTGAACTAATCGGATTGCAAAGATGCACATTATACAGCCAATTAAAAAATTATTACAAGTGACAAAATGTTTGTTCATTATTACTTGAGCACACACAAGCAAAAACAAGTTCACGAATTCCAAAATTTTTTGATCACACCCTAAAACTTCTATTCAATGGGTGGTAGCGAATCACAATGTTCATGCAATAAATGTTAGCTTTGGAAGTGGTCATTCATATGTCAAGCCAGTACTACATTATCTAACAAGTAAAGTCTCTGTAATCGATCATCAGATTTTTCTCAGAACTCATCCGTGATTCCATTCAGGTCGTGATCCTCATAAGCATGGGTAGAGATTACATTAAGATATCGTTTCCCTCACCAACTTCTCACTTTAATGAGTGTTATAATTTCTCTTTTTCACGATACAGCTACTTCTATTGCTTAGTAATCTTAAACACTACTTCACTCGACAAGTCCACAAATCAGAACACGGTTGAACAGGAACGTAATTATATTCCAAATAATACGTATTTCATGGTTGTACATGTTACACGCTAATTTACTGATATAGTTTACTGAACAATTCATTTTATTTTTAAAAACCTATATTTGTACATATCAGACTGTAAGATGCCTTTTTAAAATTTGTCTGTTTTCTAATTTACTGTGTGTAATATATCAGGTAATGAAAGCACATGATTGTATTTCAAATGAAGATGTGGCTATTAAAATTATCAAAAATAAACGTGCATTCACTAATCAAGCTCAAGTTGAAATTCGTTTACTACGTGAAATGAATCATTTTGTTGAAGAAGCTGCTGAAACTGGGAAAGAACCACCACCTGGATCTAATTTGATTGGTGAGTTTTCATTTTTGCCTTGTACATAAAATGATTTCATTGAGTTCTTGCTTTCCATTTCATGAATTACCACTAATGTCACAGCAGAAATAATGATTTTAATTGAGTTTTTTTCATTAAAAGACAGTGTTAAGGTAATAAATCATTTTGACTCTTTGATTGAATACGGTAAAATAATAGTTTATTTCCAAGTTTGTTTATCATGATTGATTCAGTTAGAAAATTGTCTGTTAGAGCATTTCGTTTTTCTACAACTTTTCTTATCACATATTTCAAAGTTGATTTACGCTTTTATCTGTTTATTTAGTAGTTAGTGCTATTATTCTGCTATATTTTGTGAAAAATCATAAATGTCCTGGTACGACCGAGGATGGAGGAGAGTCCGCCCCTCTCTCAAGATGCTCTCACATAGCCGTGCCAGGGAAGTTCTACCAACTGCCTTTCATGGGGGAGGTGTTGTTTACGAAATTGGGAAGATGAAAAGCGAATATCCGGTGCCCTATCCTGGTTGGTGAGTACGTAGGATACACCTAGGAGAGTTGGAAAACCCTTATTTCAAACCAATGGTGTACATGGAGTCCAGTATCCTGAAGGAACAAATGCAGTATGAACTAGTCGTTGGTCACCAGCTACCATAAAACTGCAGCTCCTGACGTTTCTCCGCTGCCTTGTAAATCAGACCTTTAGATCGAAGGCTCCGGGTGTTGCCCGCTTATAAAACCATCTGCTTCGGTCTGGGCACCCAGGCAGTATCACAGTCCACTCACAAATCAAGTGACTTGTGTGGTGAATATGTATTCAGTTCCCCTTTGTACCAATAGTTATGTGTTCAAATAAATAAATAAAAATAAATAGGTTTATTAGACCCATATATTAATATCTCTCCATTAGTTCAATACTTTTAAGTTTCGTTTTAATCATTTCTAATTATAACTACTCTATTTTGTGAAATACATTTCAGTGTGCTTTTACATGAACTTTTCGAAAGGTGATTTCGTTTTTGATATGATGAGCTGCAGTATCGAATGGTACAACAGTCTATATAGCGTGAAATAATTATAAGAAGCTTTATTTGCTTAATAACTATATATGCCGTACATTGAAGCTTTATGATTATATTCGGCGTTTTAATTCACCCTAATTAAATGTTACCACCAGCAATTTCATCCAGAATATGTGTATTTTCGTTCTTTGGTACAATCTTGAGTTGCGTGAATGAGTATCCCATCTGACTGGTCGCAATCACTTATCGACCCAATATATAAGAAAGGGTCAAAATCATCCTGTGATAACCATAGAGGGATTAGATTAACTAATATAGCATCTAAAATACTAGCCTCAATTGTTGTCGGACGCTTAACAAAGACTCGTTAACTGCAAACACGAGAGAATCAAGATGACTTCAGACCTGGTCGTGGCTGCATCGACCACATATTCACCATTCGTCAGGTTCTAGAACACAGGCATACTTATCGGAGTCCGACGATGGTGGTCTTTCTTGACTTAAAACCACCATTTGACTCCGTAGACCGCGAGATTCTGTGGCAGTGTCTGTCATTGAAAGGTGTACCTCAGAAGTACATAAACCTTGTGAAGGCTCTTTACTCCAACACTACTAGTCGAGTGAGAGCTTATGGCGAACTGTCATCTAGTTTTGCAACCTCAAGTGGTGTTCGTCAAGGCTGTCCACTTTCTCCATTTTTGTTTAACTTCAATATAAATCTACTGATGAAAATAACATTCTCATCGACTGAATGCTCGGGTATTGGTCTCCTTCCAGGAGGTTCACTTATCGACTTAGAATACACAGATGACATAGTCCTGTTTAGTGAAGACGCTGACAAAGCGCAGAGTCTTCTGGTAGCACTAAGCAACAATGCCAGAATGTTTGGAATGCGCTTCTCTCCCTCTAAATGCAAGTTGTTGCTTCAGGACTAGTCTGTGTCAACACCTGAACTAAGGATAAGAAGTGAGGTAGTCGAACGTGTTGATAACTTCACTTATCTTGGAAGTCTGATCAGCTCAAATGGGTTGGTGTCTGACGAAATCTCAGCACAGATTCGAAAAGCTCGTTTGGCTTTCGCCAACTTACTTCACCACCTATGGCGAAAGCGAGATATCCGTCTATCAATAAAAGGACGAGTATACTGTACGGCAGTTCGTTCTGTTTTACTTCACGGCTGCGAAACATGGCCATTAAGAGTAGAAGATACTCGTAAGCTACTAGTATTTGACCACAGATGCCTTAGAAATATTGCTTGCATCTGCTGGGGTCACCGGGTAAATAATAGTGAGGTTAGACGCAGGGTATTAGGGAATGATGGTAAATCAGTTGATGAGGTTGTGAATCTTCATCGACTGAGATGGATGTGCCACGTGTAACGTTGCATGAACACCGATTACCACGACGCACAATGGTGACTAGTGTTGGGGATGGTTGGAAGAAAGTTAGTGGCGGCCAAACCAAAATGTGGCATCAGTCCTTGAAGTCATTAACTTCTAGTCTGAGTCACGTTGGCAGATGCAGACTACTTGGTTGGGGTCCGCGTGACTATCGTAACCATTGGTTGTGGAGTCTCTGTGTGACATGGCTCAGAATCGATCACAATGGTGTAGGTGTATACACTCTTTGTCTTCCTTTAAATTATGAGATTAAAGTCGCTTCATATCTTTCTTTCTACGTACTAAATCTTTGTTCCTGTACTATGTCCGTATGTGGAATCTTTCTTTTATATATTACCACCACTGAATTAACTATTTCTATGAATTTGGTGTTCATCTTGTTTTGCTAATGAGGTATGGCAACTTGGACCAATGCATATATGTGCATATATGTAGCTGACTGACTGACTGTGTGAATTAGCATTAAAAAAACGAGTAATCGATATTGCAATTCATACATACTTTTCTTCTTGGAATCTTGTCAATAATAGGCCATTTAATATTTCCTCTTAATCCCAACCATGAAGTTGTAATTCTCCCAATTCGATTCTATTACGTTTCTTTGATTATAGCTTTGGGATAGGACTTTCCAGTTAGATAGAATCGATATTTGTATCAGCATTTTAGAATGTAACTATTTAACAGCTCTCAGCAACCTCTCATCTAAAGTTTTCTAATTCTATCTTTGCATCGACGTTTTAATCATGTGGCTTTGAACGTACTGCCATCAACGTTTTAACCGATAATTAGTTTTTCCGTCTTTTTCTCGTCTAACATTTTCAAAAAACGATGGCTAACTTACACTTAATCTTACCAGTTTTATTCAGTCCCAGTAAAATCCCAATAATCTTCAAGGGATCTTGAAACTCCATGTATAGCAGTCAAGACATATATATCTCATAGTTGGGAAGAATCATAGTTCTTGGAATTCTATTTCTATACTAACCAAGCGTCCTTACATGCTAACATTTATTATTATATTGTAGGCAGTTTGTTAATAGCCAGAATACTGTTGTACTAATTTTGCTTGCGTTCTTTTCTTTTTTCTCCTGTCAGTTCGTTTACTTACTCATTTCACATTCAGAGGTCATTTATGTCTGGTATTCGAGTTACTTTCATACAATTTGTATGATCTTTTAAGAAATACAAATTTCCATGGTGTTTCATTGGGTTTAACAAGAAAATTCGCTCAACAATTATGCTGCGCATTAGATTTTTTATCTAGACCTGAATTACAAATCATACATTGTGATTTAAAACCGGAAAACATTCTACTTGTCAATCCTAAACGCTCAACCATAAAATTAGTGGATTTCGGAAGCTCTTGCCATATGAATGAGAAGATTTATCAGTATATCCAATCACGCTATTATCGTTCGCCAGATGTTCTTCTAGGATTAGATTATACAATGAGTATTGATATGTGGTCTTTGGGATGTATTCTAGTTGAATTACACACTGGGGAACCTTTATTCGCTGGACAAAACGAGGTGAGTTTCTTGAATATGTTTCATTATCTGTTTCCAATTCTTTTCATCTTGTATTGCTTTACTAGTCGAACATTATCCCCAATAATCGTCTCTCCATGTCTAATCAGCACACATACTTACATCATAGAATAAATGTCGTCACGTGGATAACGAAACCTGAGTTCTACATGCATATCTTAGGAACAGGGCATATATTCTTGATTTACTATTCCAACGTTGACTAGTGAATTGACTCGAAAAGCTGTTGCGTTGATTTTACAACTTTAGTATACTATTTCGTAAAACCAAAAGGTTTGCCTTGATTTCAAATGTAGAAATTAAAAAGTGTAAAGGATTTAGTGGTAGGATTGTAATGAAGTGATTATTAAAAGTTATCAGGAAAGCGAGGTTATAATGAGCACCGGGGACAAAGTTGTCACTTTTATGCTGTTATTAGGTGGTAAATGTAAATATCACGTGTAATTTGACTTTTGTCCTATTGATTGCTCGTATTAAACTGTCTCTCAATAAGCCATTTAATATTTTTTTAAAGGGATATGTGATTTCTATCATAAATCGAACTCATCCACATTTATGAAAGAGGTTTCTCGATAGTCTGTTTACAACCACTTCAAACTAAAGTAATCATTATACTCCTGACACTACAGGACGTTATTACCTACCTATCTGTAAAACATGTACTGAAAGTTAATTTTATCATTCTTCAACAGAATACTGTCAGATAAATTATACTAATTCGCTTTTGAGCTCCAAATGCATTAACTTAACTATTCATTCAATATCGTTTAAAAGTTAGAAACATTATGTATTTTTCGTTTGGTTATTGTCAGGTTGGACAAATGATGAAAATTATTGAAGTTCTTGGTATGCCACCCCGGTTACTACTAGAAAAAAGTCGTCGTTGGCATGTATTTTTTGAACGAACAGTTGATCGCACTTATGTACCTAAAGTAAGTTTGTCAAATGAAAGTTTTTTTCTGAAATTGAAACTGGTCTTTTACGATAATTTTTCCTGCGTTAACGTACTTTTATTCTAAAACGGGAAAAATTTACCCTGAACTCAATATATCTATCTTTAAGGCAATTGATAAAACTAATGTACATCGTAAGTTTACACCGTAATATCTTGTACGTTAAACCAAGGTAATCTAAGGATTGATTAAATTACCCACCTACTCAAATCACTATTTTGAAATCTTGGACTATTAATAACTCGTTTCCGTTTATGGGAATTTCAGCTATAATTATGATTAATTATTACATAATACAACGTAGATACCAATTGTCATACCAAAAATATGAAAGTTATCTGAGCATGAGAACAGTGGGTTTGTTTAGTTGAGATTAGATGAGAAAACGTTTAGATTAACTATTCATAAAATGTTAACATAAGGTTATCACAAGTCATCGTAATAATTTTTCGAAATTCTGTAGTTTGCTTACTCCAACGGAACTACACATTACCGCGAAAAAGAATAGTTAATTAGTATGCTCTTTTCTTTCACTTATTCTCTGATTTTTTGAGACGCGTGGTTCACTTTATCTGATACTCATCAAATTTAGTGGAGATTACATATCCTCTTACTCAACAAATTCATTATCTGCACGTTCATAAATCACCTTTATACATAATAATCTTTATCCATCTCACGTTGTTTTCAAGCCCGTCTATTGGCTCGAAGTCAGCTATTTTTAAATGACTAAGCACACTACTTATAAGTAGGTAAATTTTTCGTAAAAATATTATTTTGATACTACTTTGAACTGGATGTCAGCTACATATTATGTATCACTTGTTAGTTAACCATTACTCCACATAATCAACCATTCTACAGTTTGAAGAACATTATATATATTTATATTTTACATATTAGCCTTATTCCTTTCTACTCTCATTAACATAGGCTGCTTGCCAGCAACCAGGTAGTCGTCGTCTTTCTGAAATTTTGGGTGTCAATACTGGAGGACCACGTGGGCGACGTTTACATGAATCTGGTCACACCCCAATGGACTACAGCATCTTCTTAGAGTTTGTACTGCGAATGCTTACTTTCGATCCAGCTCGACGCATTAGTCCTGCCGCAGCATTAGGTCACCGGTTTTTTCGACGTTCAAATTCAAATCCAGTGCCTTCTGGTGCCAACGTACTACAATCGGGTCAGTGTGATTCTGTTTCAAACGCTCCAGGTTTGTTTTTTTTGAAATTAACTAATTAATTACTGAGTGTATTTGTTTTCCGGCAACCTATTTTTGTCTTAAGTCGTTTTGCTAAATGATCAATCGTCATTATAATATGGCATCTTTGGTATTGATTAAAAGTGGATTTTATATAATCTTGCTTAATAAACAAACTAATATTGTGAAAGAAACATAACAGTTCGTTTTTGACATTTTCTTCGGTTGTTTCAAATGTATTTATCTTATTTGATCTTCTATAGTAGTATTTGATATGGTTATATGGTGATGGTAGTAGCAGTTATAATAATAATAATAATAATAATAATAATAATAATAATAATAATAATAATAATAATAATAATAATGGATAGTGTTATAATTTAGATGTCAAGATTAATTCAGTGTTCACATCCACATATTTTAATTGAATTCAATACATTAAGTTGGCGTGACTGTTCATTTAAAAAGGCTTCAAGTGACTATACATTAAAATTTTAGATGGCATGACATTGATGTGAAATTTCTTTTAATGCTCATATTGAAATCCCGTAATGCTGTTTACGTGTGATTGCTTGATTGATTTATTCGCATCCATAGTAGTTTTTTTTGAATAATTCTAAATTCTCTAACCTAAAAATCGAGTCTATTTTATTGTATGAATGATATTAAGTCCATATTTACCTGAATTATTCGTATTAGACTAAGGCATAATAGCATAATATTTCATTGCACAAAATGTTTATCATTTTAAACTATCACCTTAAATACCACTTCATGTTCAGAGTTAACAATTAAAAAGGAAAAAGTCGGAACGAAGAAACGTAAATAAACTGCGTTTTATTTTTAAGGCCGTAAAACAACTTACAACTTTCAAATATTGATTTTAGCACATCAAGCACACTAGCTACTTTCGTACACATAAGCGATTTCGTACATTTTTAGTTAGATTTTAATCTTATCATTTTAGCTTTTGCAAACTACTGTTGAACCAGTGAATAATATACATCGTAGAAAGGAGTCATTTTCTGTTGGGTAGCGTATGTTCTAGGCGCATTATCTCTGGACTGAACTCACAAACTCATTTACTGATATACTTTTTCTGCCTAAACGTTTGCCTCAAATGTCAATATTATACACATTTTCTTCTGCCATTAAGCAGTGATTAAAATATGCACATGATCAAACTTATAAAATGGTCCGTTGTTAACGCTTATGTTATTCAGCTATAAATTACTACGATTTATTGCAGTGTTCTTAAAATATCTTTATGTCCGTACAAACGTTCAAATGTTAAATTGATTGAATTTACTGAATCAAAACTGTTACATTTTGAATACAGTTAGCAAAAGAATTTCTATCTCTACTTCTCACCAACGACGTAAATCTCGCAAAGTTCACAATGCGTCAAAATAAAAGTCTACTAGAACTCATCGATTTATCCTTAACAACATACTTTCAATTCAACAACAAAATCTACGGGCAAACAAAAGGGACACCGATGGGACCTCCTATATCAGAACTTATCGCAGAAGCAGTGATGCAGAGACTAAAAGCCCCTATCTTACTAGTGATCAAGCTAAAAATTTGGATTCGTTTTGGGGACGACACATTCGTCATCGTCAAAAAGAAGGAGCAGGAAAACACCTATAGGCTGACTAACAACGTCTTCAACGACATCAAGTTCACAGTGAAACAGGAGTCAAACGACAAACTATCATTCTTGGATATATTAATCACCAGAACCGACACAAGCAAACTGGAGACTCAATTGTATAGGAGGCTGACCCACACCGATCGAATCCCCAACTACAATAGCAACAACCCTAATTTAACTGAGTACGAACCTTGTTCAAGAAGGCAAGGACACAATGCAACACAATTACAGCACGAAAAAATGAAGAAAAATACTTCAAGATCATCCTTCAAAAGAACGGCTACCCAATCAACATAAAAAAATACCAGCCGCACACATCATCGGAAAAAGTTAATCATAGAAATCTATAAAAAGATCACCTTACCATACATTATTCCGCGGGGGAGGATGGACGCGGAAAATTTTAAAATTCGGATTTTCAAAAAAGGGGTGTTGGGATATTCGGAAAAATATACCAATAATTATCATGTTAAGTCTAATGGTGTTCTTGGACTTTAAATGGACATTCCCTATTGATCAATATTTACTTCGCTTGTTAAATATTGTACAAATGTTGTTTTCTATTATATGGTACGATGTGGTCCTCTTGGTTGGTATATAAACAGATTATGTTTGAGATATAATGATTCATCTCTCAGAGGCTGAGACTTGTGTTCTGGACTCAACTGGCTGGGCTAGACAGCAAAGCAGGGCCAATCGGGACTGCAGGTCGTTCGTGCGTGTTTTACGTGTCATTGGTCGATCGATAATTCGCTGCGCGTCTAATCTGCAATCGACAAGACACAACAATTGGAAAGTGACTTCACAACGAATCTCACCAGCAATGTTTAGAATTCCACCGGATGCACTATGTGCTAATTGATGAGTTGAATATACTTTCGGTCTCCCAATTTTCTCCCACCTTCTCCTGCTTATAAGCGTTATATCAGAGGCTGTACTTAACTGCAAGAGGGCATCATACCCATTAATCTTAAGAGAAACATACTTTCTATGGTTATGGGAGCCAGCTTTGTGAAGAGCTACCGTTACTTTAGCTGTTTGTGGCTTGAATCTTTTAGAATACTTTTTCGGTTGACGGTGTTTTCGGGTTTTGCAATGACTTTCTTTGTGCCCTCTTCTGGAACACATATTACAACGATGATTCTTAAACAGACAAAACCTTTTGAAGTGCCAACCACCACATAACCAGCATGGTGATGATGGCTTGTTGCTTTAATTACGGTAACCTCGTGAGACTTTCTTCTCGACTACATTGACATGAAGGAACCGGTTGCCGTTCTCTACCATCGAGGTGTCATGCTTCAGATTCACTAACCTTTGACATTCGGTAGCTACTTCCTGCAGAGTCATGTTGGGGCAGTGTTCTAGCTTGCTTAGGATTCTCGTTCGGATGTCAGTATCCTCAGGTGAATGCAGGCTACAGATAAATACTAGGCATTTAAGTTGGTCTTCAGTTATGGAAGACGATTTGACCTTCTCACATTCTCGGTTCACAATCCCTGCATGCTCCACCCAGTCATCTCCTGGTTCTTTCGTTATTTTCAAGCATTGATAACGGATATTAAATAAAAATGATTGTTCTCCAAAGATTTGAGACAGGGTTTTAACTGTTTCATCAAAACTAAAGTCTCGTGGATTCTTTGGGAGAATGAAGTTGCTACAGCGTTCATTTTCCATAGTTCCAAGTTTTCTCAAAAGTATTCTGACTTTTGAGGGGTCATCCAGTTTGCAACGATCAATATAAAACAAATCTTTATACTTCTTAAACCAAGAATCAAAAGTTACACCTGCTACACCATCAAAATTAAATTCGTGAATGGCATTAATGGTTGAATCAGTATGGGATATTTGTGATTCACCGGAAGCAGGGTTTTGCTGTGACGCAAAATTTCTGCATCATGGCTTCCATGATTCTGATTTGAGATTGTTCAAACCTCTTTTCTTGACACTCCATATAGGCTTCTAGTTGCTCCAAGGAAATATTCATAGTAGTTTTCATCCTCGTCGCCATTGATAAGTCTTGCGGATTTGAACGTCATATTCGTCTTATAAGCTATTCTGTAACCCCCAAGCTAGAACTATACAGCGACCTGAACACGAGAGAAGACTCAAAGTATGCGAGAAGTAGTTTACTCCCAGGTTCATTTTATTACAGAAAATATAGGGTTTTTATAATATTTTAAATGTCCTTGGGTCGCTGGAATATTCTGGAATGCTACTAAACATAGTAGCAGTCAACCAATCAGAGCCTCTGCATGTGACGTTTCGCGTCATTGATATTTCTGGCCAAGACTCCACGTGAACGCTGATTGGACGAAACGCTTCTTAGTGTTTCCTGATGCTTGCTTGTTTTTTGCGAGCAATTTTCTGGATCACCCCAACACCTCCCCTCTTTCAAAAATAAGACCTCTTCTTTGGATCAACTTGCAACTTTATAACTGGTTTCCTGTGGCGTTCGGACCTTCTTGCTATCCGGCGTCCATGAGTATCTGTTGGGGTTCCTGTCATTGGAGTATCTGTAATTATATCCAGCGGAAGCCTCACTTGACTATCTACCCTGTCTAGAGTCCTTTTCTCTTCGTGTATTTGATTAATTTGTCTAATCCACATTCCGAAAGCCCCACGCACGTTGTATAAAACATTCCCCATTCTCTTCTCAATGACTCTCGATTCCCAACGATTTTTCCCAATGTATGATTTGACGAGCACTTTATCACCGTCGTTGAAACTGCGATTTGAGACCACGACGAGCACCGTTTAATATGACATCGTCTTCCTGTGAGCTGGACAACCCAGTGTTTGTACATAGTGTTTAGGACGCAATGGGAGCAGTCGTTCATGATCCGTGCTGTGATTCAGAAATGTCCGTTTCAGAGACAAGTCCTGTCGTGGGCTCAAATCGCAGTTTCAACGACGGTGATAAAGTGCTCGTCAAATCATACATTGGGAAAAATCGTTGGGAATCGAGAGTCATTGAGAAGAGAATGGGGAATGTTTTATACAACGTGCGTGGGGCTTTCGGAATGTGGATTAGACAAATTAATCAAATACACGAAGAGAAAAGGACTCTAGACAGGGTAGATAGTCAAGTGAGGCTTCCGCTGGATATAATTACAGATACTCCAATGACAGGAACCCCAACAGATACTCATGGACGCCGGATAGCAAGAAGGTCCGAACGCCACAGGAAACCAGTTATAAAGTTGCAAGTTGATCCAAAGAAGAGGTCTTATTTTTGAAAGAGGGGAGGTGTTGGGGTGATCCAGAAAATTGCTCGCAAAAAACAAGCAAGCATCAGGAAACACTAAGAAGCGTTTCGTCCAATCAGCGTTCACGTGGAGTCTTGGCCAGAAATATCAATGACGCGAAACGTCACATGCAGAGGCTCTGATTGGTTGACTGCTACTATGTTTAGTAGCATTCCAGAATATTCCAGCGACCCAAGGACATTTAAAATATTATAAAAACCCTATATTTTCTGTAATAAAATGAACCTGGGAGTAAACTACTTCTCGCATACTTTGAGTCTTCTCTCGTGTTCAGGTCGCTGTATAGTTCTAGCTTGGGGGTTACAGAATAGCTTATAAGACGAATATGACGTTCAAATCCGCAAGACTTATCAATGGCGACGAGGATGAAAACTACTATGAATATTTCCTTGGAGCAACTAGAAGCCTATATGGAGTGTCAAGAAAAGAGGTTTGAACAATCTCAAATCAGAATCATGGAAGCCATGATGCAGAAATTTTGCGTCACAGCAAAACCCTGCTTCCGGTGAATCACAAATATCCCATACTGATTCAACCATTAATGCCATTCACGAATTTAATTTTGATGGTGTAGCAGGTGTAACTTTTGATTCTTGGTTTAAGAAGTATAAAGATTTGTTTTATATTGATCGTTGCAAACTGGATGACCCCTCAAAAGTCAGAATACTTTTGAGAAAACTTGGAACTATGGAAAATGAACGCTGTAGCAACTTCATTCTCCCAAAGAATCCACGAGACTTTAGTTTTGATGAAACAGTTAAAACCCTGTCTCAAATCTTTGGAGAACAATCATTTTTATTTAATATCCGTTATCAATGCTTGAAAATAACGAAAGAACCAGGAGATGACTGGGTGGAGCATGCAGGGATTGTGAACCGAGAATGTGAGAAGGTCAAATCGTCTTCCATAACTGAAGACCAACTTAAATGCCTAGTATTTATCTGTAGCCTGCATTCACCTGAGGATACTGACATCCGAACGAGAATCCTAAGCAAGCTAGAACACTGCCCCAACATGACTCTGCAGGAAGTAGCTACCGAATGTCAAAGGTTAGTGAATCTGAAGCATGACACCTCGATGGTAGAGAACGGCAACCGGTTCCTTCATGTCAATGTAGTCGAGAAGAAAGTCTCACGAGGTTACCGTAATTAAAGCAACAAGCCATCATCACCATGCTGGTTATGTGGTGGTTGGCACTTCAAAAGGTTTTGTCTGTTTAAGAATCATCGTTGTAATATGTGTTCCAGAAGAGGGCACAAAGAAAGTCATTGCAAAACCCGAAAACACCGTCAACCGAAAAAGTATTCTAAAAGATTCAAGCCACAAACAGCTAAAGTAACGGTAGCTCTTCACAAAGCTGGCTCCCATAACCATAGAAAGTATGTTTCTCTTAAGATTAATGGGTATGATGCCCTCTTGCAGTTAAGTACAGCCTCTGATATAACGCTTATAAGCAGGAGAAGGTGGGAGAAAATTGGGAGACCGAAAGTATATTCAACTCATCAATTAGCACATAGTGCATCCGGTGGAATTCTAAACATTGCTGGTGAGATTCGTTGTGAAGTCACTTTCCAATTGTTGTGTCTTGTCGATTGCAGATTAGACGCGCAGCGAATTATCGATCGACCAATGACACGTAAAACACGCACGAACGACCTGCAGTCCCGATTGGCCCTGCTTTGCTGTCTAGCCCAGCCAGTTGAGTCCAGAACACAAGTCTCAGCCTCTGAGAGATGAATCATTATATCTCAAACATAATCTGTTTATATACCAACCAAGAGGACCACATCGTACCATATAATAGAAAACAACATTTGTACAATATTTAACAAGCGAAGTAAATATTGATCAATAGGGAATGTCCATTTAAAGTCCAAGAACACCATTAGACTTAACATGATAATTATTGGTATATTTTTCCGAATATCCCAACACCCCTTTTTTGAAAATCCGAATTTTAAAATTTTCCGCTTCCATCTTCCCCCGCGAAATGATGTTAGGTCCTCATATGCCCAAGTAACAGTTAGTCTGATTTTATTTAAAGCATATTTCCCGCATTGAGTAGAGTGTCCACTAGAACTGACTAAATGGTGTGGATCTGCGACACTAGATATGAGGTCAGTAAGGTTTGATTCTTGTGAAACATATTCATCAGATCTCTTCCAAATTCCATTAGCGGATAATAGATCACTAATATAAACAGCATCCATCAAAATTGTATTAGATTTCTGACCAAGACTCCAAGTGAACGCTGATTGGACGAAACGCTTCTTAGTGTTTCGTGATGCTTGGTTGTGTTTGCGTGCAATTTTCTGGATCATCCTAATATTTAATAACCAATCAGGAACATTATACACAAACATAGTATCAAAAACCAAAGCAATGGGCGATATAAGCAAAACAACAAGTAAACAATGACAGGTTTAAGGTCAACAAAAACCAATCAATATCGAGGTGTTCAGGACAAGCTGTGAACCATATGTGGAGAAATTCGAACTCTTCACTTCTACCTGAAGTATGCGCTGATGATGTCGTTCGGAAGAACGATGAAAGTTCCACGACTAAACCATCCAGCTCAGAGAACAAACTATCAAAATTATCCACCTGAACTACAAATCTTCTACATACACTAACGTAACACACTTGGAATAAATGTGTATATTTGTATCTATTCATACATTGAATGTGAAAACTTATTTTCATATATAATTAGTGATAATTCTTGACTGTAAGTAGTTGCAACTGAGTTCAAGGTGTATGATATCAAATTTTATTATCTTATTTCCTAATTCTTTCCCTTGAGTAGTAGTAATAACAACAAATGCTAGAAAACTTAGTTCATCTATACCATCATTAAACTAATGTCAGTCTTTTTTATTCACTTTATTCACTAGAATTATGTTAAATAATTCATGATTGTAATACCCAATACTATGGATACTCAATCTTTATTATATTTAAGCGAAACTTGATTGAATTGCATAGAATTATTAATAAATTAGATCCCTTTAGAGAAAGCATTTGCCAATAAGTGTAAATGTTTAATTAAAACACATTATAACCAAACACTAAATAGAAGAATACAGGTTTATTGTAAATTCAAAAAAGTATAGCAAGACTAAAGGTGTAAAGAGCTTATGAAATGGTAAAAAATAATGCAAGAATTCAGAAAAAATGACATTTTCATATGTATATTCTGAAGGTACTTGAAAGAAAGCCTTTATACTTAAGTTTCATGCTGTTTACCGCTGTCAACAACTTGTTCCTACCATGTTTGAAAAAATCTTTTCCTCCTCATAAAGAATATTCAAACCTGCATCATGCATCAATGGGATTCAATTTACATAAAAGACTAGACATGAGCATATATCAGTGACTACTCAGTGATGAATAAGAGTGAATTTGTTTTTAGGAAGGAGTATATATTTCATCATTACTGCAGTTAATCACCTTTTAACCATGTCACACCTTAGTCGTTAATCTTCATTCTAACTGTCCTAGACTCCAATCTTAAATCTTGTATTTCAGTGTTGTTCTAAGCCGGCCACACTTCTGTTTCATCCAACTTAGTGATATAAGTAGTAGTAGAAATTGTGAAACACTTTATGCATCGAAATTAATGCAAACTTACGGTATTGTGTAAATATGAGTTTTACTTCCCTTACCGAAACAACTAATGTACATTCCATGTATCTCTATAAAAATCGAGCCAATTATATATGACTAATTCATCTCAAACATTAGAAGATTAATTTATGTATTAGGATATTGGTCCCACTATTTGTCACCGTTTCTCATCAATACATAAACTTAAAGCGAACAAAATATTCACTCTGGATGTGCTTACAATTTTAACTGTTTGGGACACTTCTAGGATCCTATAAGTCAATGATCATTATCACATAATTAAACCCGAACTATATTTACCTGAAATGGCTACACACCCATTGAGAAGTTAAATCTGTCCATTAGACTACAGTTTTATGCCTTGAGGCTGAGTGTTTTGTTAAAACCGGCTTCGATATTTGGATTATGAGACTCGAACCCTCCGAACGTCAACATATACACTCAGTTATGGAATCCAAATAGCCACTATGTCCATCAACGAGTATGATGCGTATTCGTAGAGGTTTGTATCATTCAAATATAAAAATAATTGTAAAATGTCCATATCTAAATGATCCACTTCAGATACACATGTGTCGACAGCAGAACAATACCAAACCCTTATGAATAAACGATCCGTTTATATTTTTATGAAACTTATGAGTACACCTTAAATCTGTTCTCAACAACCGGTCAGTCTTTATTCCTTATGAGTGAAGCAGACTTTTGAATCTACTTTGGTGTATTCATATTTTTTATTTCTATCCTATTTTAGTTCTAGTTTGTCCCCCTCCTAACCATTGGGCCAGTTTTGTCGATAATCCAACATCTAATCTAGTGCACAATCATTTGAATAACTTACGAGTTTCTGGACACTCTGGTGTTGGTTTGGTCAATCGAACAACTGAACATTTAGAACTCATGCGGATTCAACAACAACCCATGCGAAGTGCAGTCACTGGTTCTGTTATGGTTTCACAGCCTCGCTCCATCCCAATTATATCTAATGATGGTGTGATAACACAAATTGCTGAACCGCTCTCACCTCTTTTATATGGATATCACGGACCATTTCATGTTCATTCTAATCCAGGTCCTCTACCTCTTCAAATTTCTCGTGTCAACCCAACGCACCTTATGCAAAGCGTTCATTGCTTACCCTCGGTAAACCAAACGCATACTATGCCAGCCACAGCAATTTCAACTACTTTTACCGATTCAACTCACTTTCATCATCCATATTATATCGAATCTGGAATGTATGCTTATCCTCAACAACCTATCCAATTAACATGGATCAGTGGGTTAGGTGAACATCATTCAATTAGTTCTACCGCATGTCTTACATCTCCTGATATAATGAATGTAGCTTCTGCTTCTCCCGGAGTTTGGCGTTAAATTCCAAGACGAAAAACAAAGGGTAACAGTAATAGGTTTGCTAATGCATTGAAAATTTTCCATTATTTCTTATTCGCCTCAAAAAATAGCCGTTCTGTGATGCGAATCAACATGTCCACAATTAAAAATATATTCATTGGGTTTTGTTTTAACTCATGTATATGCATCTGACGATATACCATATATATATATGATTCTTTGCAAAATCTTCCCTTACCGGTTTTCTATTGTACAGTCATTTTTGTCTGTTTTACAATTTTGTTTCTCTTCTTTTCTATAATTCGGATGTGCGTAGTATCTGTGTTTTATGTTCAAATCTCAAAATATTCATTTACTCTCTTTTAACTGTGATTTTGCTGTGACACTCGCACATTGTACTACTGAATATAAATTACTTTTATCCCAAACAATTAAGAAACTGACTAACAGATATTTCCACATTTAATATTACTGTATACACATACATATGTAATTCTTCATAGTAATATTATTTTTTAAAAATTACATGTTATGCATTAATGCTCCTTTATTCGAATATTAAAAATTATTCGTTTACAACGTGTGCATTAGGCAAGTGCATTTGAATGCTTTGAAATTCCCGACTTAGGATTATAGAAAATGTCGCATTCAGAATCAAACATTGATATGAGTGCACCATTTTCTAATATATATAAGTTATATAGCATATACGTATTCGTGTATACACAAGCTTTGAGCAAATCTAGGTAGAACAGATTCCCTTACAAATTTTTATGATTCCTTATATTATTATATCTTAGTTCTTTTCTCTATTGAATTGAATTAATTGTCTAATCGAGTATGTTTTATGTTGATCTGTTTCTTTATTTCGTTGATTTTTTTATGTCAATGCGTACAAATATGTACCACTTACATTCCTGTTTACGGAGACAAAATATTTGAAAACTAAATCCACTTTCAGCTGAAGTAAAAAAATAACCTTAACCATTTCGTGATATGTATCTTTTTTCACCCATATTCTCCCGGAACCCTATTGTGTATGTCCGTGAATATACAGATGTCTTTGTGTTCGCGTATGTACATTCTTTATTCTGCAAATATTCTAGTTAATGAATCTAAAACTATTCAGGAATAACAACTGATTTTTTCCGTGCAGTATAAAGGAAATGCTTCTATTTGATTTGTGGTGATTTTTCTTACATTACTTCTAATTATCATAAAATGTCGTTCTTGTTTCTTTTTTTTTTCAGGGGTAATCGATAATCCTTTATATAATCTGCGCATAATCAACACAGTTATATCGACCCACTTTGCCATACTACTTAAACGTAACGCGATGAAATTCATAAAATAAATGACAAAAGGCTCGGGATAATTGTAGTATTGGTAATTATATAATAGACTAAACAGATAATATGATTTAAGGAGAAATTGAATAAAGGATTAGTAGGTATGGAGTATCATTGATGAACATGGTGGGTCTGATGCAGATGTGAAAGCGCTGATCGGTAAAGCAAGAACAGCATAATTACAACTGAAGAACATCTGGAACACAAAGCAACTCTCAACCAATACCAAGGTCAGGATTTTCAATACAAATGTCAAGACAGTTCTATTGTATGGGGCGGAAATTTGGAGAACTACGAAAGCCATCATCCAGAAGCTACAAGTGTTTGTTAACAGTTGTCTACGAAACATACTTCGGATCCGTTGGTCGGACACTATTAGCAACAACGTACTGTGGGAGAGAACAAACCAGATCCCAGTGGAGGAAGAAGATAGGACACACATTGAGGAAAGCACCCAACTGCGTCACAAGACAAGCCCTCACATGGAATCCTCAAGGCCAAAGGAAAAGCGGAAGACCAAAGAACAGATTACGCCGGTAAATGGAGATAGACATGAGAAAAATGAACAAGAATTGGATGGAATTAGAAAAGAAGGCCCAGGACAGAGTGGGTTGTAGAATGCTGGTTGGCGGCCTATGCTCTATTAGAAGTAACAGGCGTAAGTAAGTAAGGTATGAACTAATACTGGAACTCAAGGGTGACGAATGCATCAGTGCCACTTTGACTGATGTTCAAATATATCACCTTAGTTCTTCGACCATTATACAAAATTATCCTCTGGACCTCAAGTGGTTGGTCTACATCTATCAACATGACCAAGATCGACAATCAGTGACTTTATGGGCTAATAGTATATCTTTGTTTGAACGGTTTTGGCTCTCTCCCAATCTACTTCATCCAGCACTGGAAGCCGGGATAGGTGGTGATTAAGCATGCGTACCACCTTCCTGGCACCTGAGTTGATCGAAGTCCATAGCGTTATCAACCGATCTGCCATATCTTTTTATTATCCTACATCTAACCTCAGTATTAACCACTCGCTTGCTCCTCCACACACGAGTTCTCTATAAGTTACAAATACTAGTGACCTCCATTTGTCTTCTACTTCCAGAGATCACCTTTCACAGCCACGAGGTAAAAACTGCGAACTATAAACTGGAAATATTATCACCTAGAAATCTAAATCAAAAATATTTTAATTGTGAAACTAATCACTAGATAAAACTACGATATATTTTTTTTCAATCAGTCGGAGTTACTATTCGAATTTCACCAGTCCTATGTAGGAAACACTATATTATGCTTTGATTCATATACCTTTATTTATTTGATTACATAAAAATTGGTACAAGGAAGCACCAAAGACATTTGAGCCACACAATAGAGTGTAAAGTGCTTATAATAAAAAGACAGAAATTAGTGTACAAGAGTGAAGTAACAATAATAAGTGAAACAGTTCAGTTAGCAAACATTTAAACAGAAAGAATACTTCCAGTCAAAGAAGTTACATTCATTTTTGTGAAAAAAATTATCGCACCATCGCCACTGGTTTCCATTTTGAGCCATTGTGTCGCACCATCTCCTGGAACCTAATAAGTGAGCCGAACGACCGACAGAATCCAGTCCTGTACAGTTTCCTTTCATATCACGACACCATGTCATACACTGACCATCTCCACTTTATTCAACCGGTCCCAGCCTCGGCAAATGATGCACATCGTCGGATTCTCTGAGATGATATGTTCAAGCCAACTAAGTTTATGTTTCAAGATAGTGAGACTAATTGAATTACTGTCACGACGCCGGACCTCTACATTACTAACATGGTGTTGCCACTTGATATCATTAATCCTCAGGATAATCAAATACATAGAGTCGTCTAAAAGTCTCAACTCGGAGAGGTCAGATTTCACAAACAGAGCAAAACTGCTCTCACCAACGCATTATTTATTCGACCCTTTACAGTCAGACTAACATCACGAATACTCTAAAGGTGACCTCGATTGGCATATGCCGCTCTGGCTTTCAATTAGGGTGAATTGATCTCATCACTCACGCCACCACCAGCACTTACACAGATACTCAGGTACACGAACTTCTCAACTACTTCTATCCACTCACTACCCGAGGTGTTTGCGGTATTAGGGTTCTGCCATTCCTGTTAAAGTACTCTGCACTCGGAAGGTGCAAAGTACACACCATACCAATGAATACCGATTGCCAACTGATTAAGTGAGGATTGCATGGCTTGGGTATCATGGCACAGCAACACTATCATCTGCATAATCAAGGTCGGAAAATCTTTCTCCAAACCGCCACCATTAACTACATTCATCAGAGCTGTTCCCAGAACCCCATCGATGTGAAATTTGGAGAGAAGTTGTGAGATCGGGCAACCCTGACAAACCCCACTGCTTGAATTAAACAAGGGAAAAAGGTGGTTGTATTCCCTCACTCCTCTGAGCTGTTGGTATATACGACTTTCAGAGTGCTAATAAACTTATCAGGCACACCCTTCTTCAATAGATAATCCCAGAGAACAGTCCTGCCCAACAAGCCGAAGCCTGCCCTAATGTCAAAATGCACTACGACTTTTGGCCTGTGATAAATATGACAGTGTTCTAACATTTGGCGGAGGGTGGAGATATAGTCAACACATCCTCGACCAGAACGAAAACCAGCCTACTCTCCATGAGTCAACCTTTCCCGGGTTTTGAACAATGTAATGTACGAAGTATGACGGAAGCCAATGGTTTGGACGCAATCGGAAGTAGACTTACCTACCAATAGTTGTTGCGGAAAAAACGTGAATCCTTTTAACAGACAGGAGCAACCATTGGCCCATTCCACGATGTTAGAGCACTCTCTAACTGTTAGACCTTTGTAAATAACTCAGATCCATAACCATAAAGTCACCACCATCTTTAAAAAGGGTCGGAAATAAGTCATCTGGGTCTGGTGATTTGTTGCGCTTCAAGAGTTGGACTTGCTTGCGTACTTCCACCTCGTCAGACAGATCAGTCGTCACAGATCACGGGGGCAGGACGGTGTGGTCGATATTGCCGGGGCAGCAGTCCAGTTGAACTGCTCTTGGAAAAACTCTTCCCATCATCCAATACGTTGGTAGACGTTAGTGATTGGCATTCTGTTATCGCATATTATTTCACTCACACCAGACTTCTTCCAGTGACTCAGATGAGTTGAACGAGCTTCAGAAATTTGCCAGATACAGCCGTTGCTTTCAACTCATTGGCACGTTCCTACCACTAGGCTTCTCGGTCCTTATTTTATTTATTTATTTCAACACATAGATAATGGTACAAAGAGGCACCAAATACATATGCGCCACACAAATCTCATCCGATATGTGTGAGGGCTGTGATACTGCCCGGGTGCCCAAACCGAAGCAGGTGGTTATCTTAGGGGGCCACACCCCGAGCCTTCAACCCAAAGGTCTGATCCACAAGGCAGTGGAGCATCGTAAGGAGATGCAGTCCCATGGAAGCCGGTGACCAACAATTGGTTCATTCGCCATTTGTTCCCGCAGGATACTGGAGCCCATGTGCACCATTGTTTTGGAATCCGGTTAAAGCGCCGGACATTCGCTTTTCGTCCTCTCATTTTCGTAAACAACACCCCCGCCACGAGAAGGCAGTGAGTAGGACTTCCCTGGCAGAGGCTATATACGCGTGGCCGTGTGAGAGTATTTCGAGAGGGAGAGCGGACTCTCCCCACTCTCGGCCGTACCAGGGCATTTGGGGGCCAACTTCATTACGTAACAGTTCCCGTAGGTGGTCAAACTCGTGGTCACTCGGAGTAGACTGATGTGCTTCAATAAGCTGTAAGGATCATGAATAAACCCATTGCTTATAAGTTGGACGTTTTGCGAAGCCGCAGGCAAGTTTACTCTTTATTTTTATGGCGTCATGCAGTTGCTCATCTATACTTTTCGGTAGCCTGCTAGCTAGCCTTGAAACTAGCTAGGTTTGATATTTAGTTGCAACAGAAGCTGCAACCAATTCGCTGACATCGATCCATTTAGGACGACGAATTTGTTGGCCACTGAAATGTAAGGTAAGATTAGCACAAACAAGGGCATGATCAGAGTCCAGATTGGTACTTCAAAGGGAGCGGCAGTCTTGTGCACAACCACGCCAGCGTAACTGATCACGATGTTCTGAGTCTATTATTATTAGTGTCTCTATTCAATTATTTATTTTTGATACAATTTCAACAATTCTGCCTTTCTTATCTCTCGATCAACCCTTGCAATAAATATTAGGTGGTCGCTAGTTAGATGTTAACAGTTCAGGAATCGACATCTGATTAATGTATATTCTTTTCATTGCATATTGCTAGCAACTACGATCTCTCTGATTGGGCTCTTTTGTAACTTGTATAGTGAAATGTCGTTAACATTTCACAAACTCACTTGAATAGGTTATGCGACTAATAAGCATAATGATGTGTTAAAATAAACAAGAAAACAGATCACTTGTTGAAATATCCAGATGACAGGAAACAGGTAACCCAAATATTCAAGCAGGCTGCCTTGAGATGAAGTGGAAGGACGTGCGGTGTCACATCGATGATTATTGTGTCGGTAGTTAGTGCTAGCCAGAAACAGGTTGTGGTCTGCGCACAGTTGCAGTAGACGGTTATCGCTATCTGATCTGCGACCAACAAATCCCTAACGGCCATCTAAATGACTCTCTTCTGTGCCTAGACTCCCGACGTGAGCATTCAAGTGTCCGGCTGGTACTACAATATCCGTCGGATTCACGTTTTGTAGAAGAACTGTTAACTGGTGGTAGAACTCATCCGTTTTTTTTTCAAGTAATTCATTGTTTATGTCTAATTCTATCCATTTTAATCATTCTAATTAA